GTTAACTTGTATTGTGCCTTCCTCTGTGCCAATTGCTCTGCTTTGAAATTTTAGTAGAAATTAAATAATTAAATCACAATAACCCTAGGAGTCTGTTAGACTTGTTTTAGAAATATGAAAACCTAGGTCAAGGATAATATTACTATTCTGTGTGTGTGTGTGTTGGTGGTGGGGGGGGGGGGGGTCCCAGATCCAAATTCATTGCTTTCAATAACAGAACCCACGTTCTGACTTTATACTACCTTGCATCTGCCTCACATTGTAATTGCGGGTGAGACTATATACCTTAAAATACTAATGAAGCTACATTCAAAATTATACATACAAAATGATTTTTTCTCTAAGATAAAACAGGATAGTTAAATAAATATATTAAAACTCGAGAGCTCTCCTCCCTTACATGTTGGCATTTTTCAAATGTCTTATAAGTAGGTATCACTTAGAAAATTTAATTTACTTATTGTTTAGGGGTGCCTGAGGGCTACTCCTGACTTTGTCCTGGGGACTTTTTCAGTGTTGGGAATCAGACCTTAACTCAGGGTCTACTGCAGGCCAGGTGTGCACCTTAATCCCTGTGTTATCTCTTCAACCTGGGAAAATTTTATTTTAAATATGTAATTTTATCTTTAAAGTTGGTGTCAAGGGGCTGGAGAGATAGCACAGCGGGTAGGGCGTTTGCCTTGCACACGGCCGACCCAGGTTCGATTCCCAGCATCCCATATGGTCCCCTGAGCACCGCCAGGAGTAACTCCTGAGTGCAGAGGCAGGAGTAACCCCTGTGCATTGCCAGGTGTGACCCAAAAAGCAAAAAAATAAAAAATAAAAAAATAAAGTTGGTGTCAAGTTAATCAAATGGAAACTAAAGTAGTGGCTAAAGAAATTTTTTTACACGATGGTTTAAAAGTTCCAGCCTGATTTATTGCAGCCAAAAATTCATAAGTTTTAGATGAGGATAGACATTTTTATATTGCATTAAATAGTTTTAATTGTCTTACATAGGTCAAAACCATATAATAATCACTAATTGGCTCTTACTAATTTATTTTCTGATCATTTTATTTGCCAGTTCTTAAACTTTTCTTGGAATAAGCAATATAAAGTAAATTTGTTACGTGTCAAAGGTTGGGATTGGGAGCGAAACGGGATATTGGTAGAGGAAAGGTGACACTGATGGTATTGTAACACTAAATGCTTGAAACAGCTGCATAATGAACAAGTTTGTAAATCAGTGTTTTTAGTAAAAATCAATTAAAAACTTTTTTTTGAGTTTTCGAGATTATGATTTTATGAGAAGTCTCATTCCATTGAGCTGTAGGCAGTTCAACCATGGGAACTGAGTGTGGTGTGCATTTGTTCTCTTTTCAACTTAAAAAAGAGAACGTCAGTGCTCAGTCATACACCTCCCATGAGTAAGGGACCGGTTTGGTCTGAGACATGCAGAAGATACAAACGCATTCTGTACGCATAGAGATAGAATTGTCATACAGCTTTATCAAGCATAATCTCCAAGGCCTTTCTGAGATTGTTGGATTATCACGTTTCCTACCTCTCATTTTAGCAAGGAGCACTAAGGAATTTGGTGTAGAAAGGCATGTTTATTCTTAGCTCTGACAACAAACATCAGGGACTTACAGAAAATCTGCAGTAAGGACTTTACATTTCCTGATCATCTGTGAGTTCCTGTTACTGTCAGTTACTGAGCCTTTAGCCCCAGCAGTGTTTTACTCTGGCTGATCCTTTTCAGAGCCTGCGTTCTTGAAAGGCTTTCTCTTTTCTCTGTGCACAGAGGGAGTGCCCACACCCAGAGGTCCTCAGTGCTTTTTCTTGGCTCTGTGCTCACGGGTCACTCTTGGTGGTGCTCAGAGGTCCATTCTGAAGGGTTGGGGATCGAACTGAGTTTGGCCATGATCACAGCAGGGACCTTAATTCCAGTCTCTCTCTCCAGCCTTCTTGAAATACTCCTGATATTCCTCTATCTTCTTAGTCTGTCCTTTGTGCTCTCCTGTTTGGACTCTTCCTTCAGACATCTACATTTTGCCCAAGGACTTGCCCTTGGTTCTTTTTTCTCTCTTTGCACTTAATCTTTAGGTAACCTTGTCCAGTAATCTTGTCTCATAGCTTTGTGCTAGTATGCTCAGACTTCCAAATTTCAGTAGGCAGCTCCAGCTGCCTTCTGAGCTCTAGCTTTGTTTTATCTGAAATAAATACTTGACCTTGCATAGCGGACATTCAAGCAGTAAATGCATACGCCCGGGAAAAGAAAAATACCTTGTTTTTCAGCTACACCGTTGCTTTGTATTCGTTTGAAAGAAACTACAAAACACATTCCAAATCTTACCATTTCTCAACATTTTCCAACATAGTCTCATCCGACTACTACAGTTTGTTTACTGTTTTCCCTTCCCTCTTGATAGAATAATCTTTTGAACTGTTATTTTATCTGGTTTGGAGAGGTAGCTCAAAGGGCTGGAGCGCACACGTGTAGCAGTGGGAACCCCAGGCTTGATCGCTGGCCTGGCCTGATTCTTTGTGCACCGCTGGGGTGACCCCTGCCTGTGTGCTGCGTTGGGAGTGGCCCTGAGCACTGCCACTGTTGGCTTCCCACCCCAAGTAAATAAAATACCCTTTCTAGAAAAATAGTCTCGATCAGGATTCTCTCATAGGTTCCTGTGATGTTTAGACTGAGGGCTAAACATCTTGCAAACATTTGCAAACTGCTTTATCTGTTCATACCCTCACCACCTCATCACCTACAGCTCCTTAGCTGTTTCGTTGGGCTCTGGCCACACAGATCTTGTCCTTTGGGGAAAACACCAAGATCCTCCCTGCCCTTGGGTATTTACACTGCTGTTTTCTCTGCCTGAAACACTCCCCAGAACTTCTCATAGCTTGCTCTCTCCCTTTTTTGAGCCCCCTGTACAGTTACCACTTTTTCTCTGTGTTGCCTCCATCCGGTCTTTCAGTCTGATTTCTGCCGGCATGCTGATCTTTTATCTCCCTCCTCTCTCTAGGATATTTAAGTTCAGTGAGTTAAATTAAGTAAGGAACTTGCTCTCCCTTTCTCATCGCTTTATCTCCAGACCCTGAAACAATACCTGACACCGAGTAGATGCTTATAGAGATTTATTGAATTGCCAGAAGCAGCCGTCTGCCTGCTTGGCAAGTTAAATGCACTTTTGACATGTTAGTTTCCCATGACCTCTCTGCAGTGTTTCACTGCGTCTTCCAGTCACCCACTTCGTTTAATTTCTGCTTTCAGGACAACCGTTCTACCACATCAGTGTCTCATATGCCTCACCCCGTCCAGTGTCCAGTCCTACTCATTCTTCCTTGGGCTGCCAAACCCATGTTCCTTTATCACCTATATTTAGTGCAGACTTTTCTTTACTGCGACTTAATTGCAGCAATCTTTCCATCTCTTTGTCTTAATTGATTTGTCGCATGATTAGACTGCCCCAAATTGTACATATCATTTATCTTTGTCTATTTTGAAGTACCCAGAGCCCCCTCGCCCTCCTCCCAACACACATACGTGTACGCGCGCGCACACACACACACACAAGCAGACACGTTGTGTTTAGTGAATGATCTTGTGTTCTGGGAAGTAGGACTAGTGGGACCTTGGGATTATTTTATGGCTGGAATTTTTTGAAAAGAGTTTATACCTAACTAATCCCTTTTCCCGTTTTAGAAAAGCTGTTAAAAAGAGAGAAAAGGCGGGAGGGAAAGCACCTGCCATGGAGGAAGGCAGAGGTGGGTGGGACGGAACCTGGCCACGTTGGTGGTTATAAATGTACACTGGTGAAGGGATGGGTGTTGGAACATTATGTGACTAAAACCCAGTCATGAACAACTTTGTAAGTGTGTATCTCACTGTGATTCAATTAAAAAAAAAAGAATGTGATATTTACCACATTAAAAAAAATCTGTTTTAAAGATTAAAAAAATTAAAGCTGTAGCAATCTTTGTTATACATTGATTTTTGTGGACTAACACGATCACGACCATCCTGTTGTTCATCGATTGCCTCGAGCAGACCCCAGTAAAGTCTCCCTCGTCCTAGCCCTGAGATTTTAAAAAGTGCCATATTCAAGGCTCTTTCAGGGTTAGGAAAGTGAAACCCATGATTGTTACTGGTATTTGGCATATTGGGTACACCACACGGAGTTTGCCAGACTCTGCCATGTGGGCAGGTAACATTCGGTAACCTGCCAGGTTGTCCAAAGTAGGAATGAGATAATAAGATGCTGCAAATGCGGCCGCGCACTTCCGGGAGCTGGGTTTTATAGTCTCTGGGTCTTGGCTGTTGATGGGATTACATGGCACTGGGGGTCAGATGGTGGGTGTGACCTCTGCCTACTGGAAGATGGTGGATCTGGGTGGAGGATGCTCAGCCCCGATCTGAGCAGGCTTGGAGATCTCAGCCCCGGGACCCGCATGCCTTTGTTCCCCTGCCAGTACCTTCATGCGTGTGGAGAGTGGCCACAGCATGGTGGTGGCTGGTTCTGGAGGTCTTCGGCTGCCGGAGCTCTGTTTGGGGCGGGGAGGGAAACTCAACCCGCCCCCCTCCAAGGGGCTTTGGCGAGCACAGCCAGGCGTGGGGGCAGGAGACTCTGTGCTGTTCTTTTCTGGGAGCTGGGTTTTATAGTCTCTGGGTCTTAGCCGTTGATGGGATTACAAAGCGCTGGGGGTCAGATGGTGGGTGTGACCCCTGCCTACTCGAAGACGGTGGATCTGGAGGGAGGATGCTCAGCCCCGATCTGAGCAGGCTTGGAGATCTCAGCCCCGGGACCCACATGCCTTTGTTCCTCTGCCTTTTGTGGACTGTGATTATAATCATACAGTGCACAATTAAAGCACTTGACAATAGAGTTGTGTTGTTTCCTCTAATAGAAGTAAAGTATCTGTGTTTGTTAAACAACCCTTTCTTTTCTCTGAAGCGGAATTCTCCAGTGGATATTGACTCGCTGAGGACTTGTGGAAGCGGCGTTTCCCGTCCCATGGATCCCCTGGGTGCCCCTTCCCAGTTTGTGGATGTGGAAACGCTTCCAGCCTGGGGCAGCTCCTGTGAAGATGAACTGAATGCCCCAGACACAGCAGCTGAGATGCCTCAGGAAGAGCCTATTCGATCACCTTTCCTTTATAACAAAGATATTAATGGAAAAGTGGTTCTTTGGTAATACTTGGATTCAACTCTTACTTTTTTTCTAAACTCTTTTAGTAACTCCTAGCCTTCTGCTAATTTACGTTTTGTTTCTGTAGGCTGGCCTATTTCATGTGACTAGAATCAGTTGTGACTTCGCACAATGCTTTTAAGATTCATCCGTGTTGTAATAGGAATACATGTTTTGCTCCTTTGTAAGGCCAAATGATATTCCACTGTATAATTTAACACATTTCGTTTATCAGTTCATTAGTTGATTTTTGTGTTGGTTTTCGAGTGGGCTATTTTTTTTTTTTTTGCTTTTTTTGGGGGGAGTCACACCTTGCGATGCACAGGGGTTACTCCTGGCTCTGCATTCAGGAATTTCTCCTGATGGTGCTGGGAGGACCATATGGGATGCTGGGAATCAAACCTGGGTCGGCCACATGTAAGGCAAATGCCCTACCCGCTATGCTATTGCTCCAGCCCTCCAGTGGGCTATTGTATAGATAGATATACCTATCTATCTATCTATCTATCTATCTAATATATCTGTATATAGGAATAGATATATGTGTCTATACGTATAGATATATAGACACATATATAGAAAAAGAGAAAGAAAGAGTGCTACTTTTTTACTCTTGCATAGTTTATAAGCTAACAAATCAAGATCGTAAAGGAATAAGGATAGATTTTTGTAAGAATTAGAAACTAGTTTTCTTACCTACCTTCTTCTCCTCTCACATGAGTGTTATTTCTTGTTTCCTCAGGAAAGGAGATGTGGCATTACTGAACTGTACAGCTATTGTGAATACCAGCAATGAAAGTCTTACCGATAAGAATCCCGTGTCAGAGAGTATCTTCATGCTCGCAGGACCTGATTTGAAGGAGGACCTCCAGAAACTTAAAGGTGATTGAAATTTCTTAGGTTTGTTATCATTTGGAAAATAATTATTTTGACACCTTTTACCTTGAAAAAGAATGCTTTGCAGGTGAGGAAGCTATGTAAATTTATTTTTATTGTTGCTATGTGAAATAATTTTTTTTGAAGGTGCTGGAGAGAGAGAGAGAGAGAGAGAGAGAGAGAGAGAGAGAGAGAGAGAGAGATAGCACAGCAGGTAGGGCGTTTGCCTTGCACGCGGCCGATGCAAGTTCGATTCCTCTGCCCCTCTCACAGAGCCCGGCAAGCTCCTGAGACTATCTCATCTGCACAGCGAAGCCCGGCAAGCTACCCATGACATGTTCAATATGCCAAACAGTAGCAATAAGTTTCATTGGACTCGTTACTGGGCCCGCTCGAGCAAATCGATGAACAGCGGGAGGACAGTGCTATGGTGCTGGAGAGATAAATAGTTCAGTAGGTACTTGCCTTGCATGCAGGCAGCCTGGGTTTAGGCTCTACCCTGGCATCCATTTGATCCCCTGAGCCTCTAGGAGCGATCCCTGTGCACAAAACCAGTAGTAAGCCCTGAGCATCGCTGACTGGCCCCGAAATAAAACAAACAAAAAAAAAATTTTAAACTTCACATTGTGTTATGAACTGAAACTCGACTCTCTGTAAAATGCCTCTCTGTGTGTTCCAGGATCTTTTTTTAAAATTTTTTTATATTTTTATTAGTGAAACACCATGAGGTACAGTTGTAGACTTACAAATTTTTGTGCTTGGGTTTCGATGATACAATGATCTAGTACCCATCCCTCCACCAGTGCCCATTTTCCACCACCATGGATCCCAGTATCCCTCCCAACCCCACCCCCCCATCGCACCCTGCCTCTGTGGCAGGGCATTCCCTTTTGTTTTCTCTCTCCTTTTTGGGTGTTGTGGTCTGCAAAAGAGGCATTGAGTGGCAGTCATGTTCGGTCCATAGTCTACTTTCAACATGCATCTCTGGTAAATATTGTCGGTGATTTGATAGGTTGTTCCTGGCTGGATATTTTCATATACAGATAATCCTTGTAAAAACAGTGCTTCTTATCTAAGCTGGAAATCTTTTGATCATGATTTAACATTGATCATGAATTTTTTTTTTATACACTTCTCAGTACATGTTGAAATTCTGAAGTGAAATTTATTTCTGAATAAAACCAAAATGCAAATGCTTATTTGAAATAGGAACAGAAAAAGTTCAGGATCTTGTTTTTCTTCTTTCTTTGCACCTGTTTCCTTAAATTACAAGCCTAGAAACCTTGTGTTGTTATTTAAACACAAGAGGGATGATAGTGTGGAAATTAGGTTAAAGAATGATTGTTAAATACTAAGCATAGCTTAAGTGTTTAGTCAGTATTTTTACTGACTGTGTCACAGGGTGTTCAGACTAGTGTCATCCAGAGGCCCCAGTTGTATTGTTTAGTGAATCATTGCCAACCTGTTAGAGTGATGATTAATGTGCACTAAAAGGCTAAGACTTAGTCCTGTCCTTTTTCTTTCCTTTTTTTAAACGTTTTCAGTAACTTAGCAAACGATGACGATTTTACTTTACCAAGTTTGTAGATGATAGAAAGATGGAGGAATAGCAGAAGACATTGGATGATAGAGTAAGGGTGTTTAAATGTATGAATTGACTTGAAAACGAGTCAGAGAAGAAAAACGATGACAGGACTGGAGTTAATAGGTTTTCAGGGAGTTGAACATGTTCTAAAAGTATAAAATCCCCAGTGAAGGAAGGAAGGAAAACCCAGGCTGACACCCTTCTCATATAAGAGGGTGTTTGTTTATCTAGGTAAAACATTATCACCCAAAGGATCATCTGCTGCTAGTTTGAACTGGATCCAAACCACACATTGCATCTTATCCTTCGAGCTCTTTGTTTCTTTTGTATATCCAGCGCAGTTCATTTTCTGACTGATTTATTTAGTCAGAACTGGGCCAGACCTTTTCCAGATGCCCATCTACTGAGTTTATCGGATTCACCCGAGGTGCCTGTTAGTTTGTGGTTTTGTCCCCTTCGTCATATAAAATGGAAGTTAGATCTAACAGAAGCAAATCTAACTTCTGTTTGATGAAGACATTGCACTGAGTTGTGTACTTCAAGTTAATACCTCTTAGAAGATATATAAGATTTGCTTGAACCACTAAATATGCCACTTCTGCTGTTGAAACAACTCTGCGTTAGTGTGATGAGAGTTTTAATCTTTTCTCTTGTAACTGAAAGCGGTCTATATGGTGTTACTTAGCTTTTGAATATCTAGTTACTCATCACGCATTCACATACTGTTCTGTGTAACAGTTCTCAGTCCTTGTCTGAATCAGTAATTTTAAATTAACGATGATGTCTTCAATTTTATCAGCTCCATCCACGTTTACTAGGTAACATTCTTGGAGCCTTCCTCAATAATTGATGCTGAGTTATGACTCGTTTATCGTTTCTGTAAAGAGGGACAGGATAAAGTGCTTACATTTTAATTACCATTTCTCAAATCAAAATTTGGTTTCATGACCACCTCAAATTGTGCTGAATTAGTTTTCCTCACTTTCCTCTTTTATGAGTATTATTTTATATCAGAATGTCAAAGTGCAAAAACTCGTCCCTACCCTCCCTTCTTCTACTTCCAATTTCTTTTCTTCTGGGACTAATACTTTGAAAATGTTTATTTAGTTTTTCTTAATTCTTTATCTTATTTACCATCTGTTTACAAATAATGTGCTGAAATTATTGTAGTGATTTTTTTTCCCCTCTGACTTCTCTTTGTGGAAGTTAAAGAGTGAACTCTCATGCATTTACAGAACATGTATGCATTTTCCTCCACCTTCGCTTCCTCAGATTGGTCTGTTGAAAATTTCGTTAAACCAGTATTCAACCGCAACACTGCTATTACCTAAATAGTGTCCCTAGCTGATTAGAAGACAGATTGCTTGGACCAGAGCCGTAGTGCAGTGGGCGTTTGCTTTGCATACGACTGGGCCGGATTTGATCCCCAACATCTCATAAGGTTCTCTGAGCCCCAGCAGGAGTGATTCCCGAGTAGATAGCCAGGAGGAAGCCCTGAACATGCAGGTTGGCTAAAAAACCAAAACAAAGGAAAGGAGGAAGGGAGGAAAGAAGAGAAAGGAAAGAAGGAAGGGAAGAAGGGAGGAAGGAAGGAAAGGGAAATATTGTTTTTGATCACTTGATCCTCCGTTATTCATCGATTTACTCGAGCGGGTGCCAGTAACGTCTCCATTCATCCCTGTTGCGTGCTAGCGTAGCCCAAAGGCATCTGTTCATTCTAGGAATATGCAGAGCCTCAAACCGATCATTCAGGGTCTTGACGAAGAAGTCTGACCATCTTGTAGCGGGGGGTCCACGTGATCTTTTGATGTCCTGTGGAATCCAGTCAGTAATGGCTCTAGTCCAGCGGTTGTCTGTAAACCTCATTACGTGTCCAGCCCATCTGATTTTTGACACCTTGGCAAATGAGACAGCGTCCCTGATTCTTGATCGTCGACGGATGTCAGAACTCCGGATTCGTTCTCTCATTTGAGTGAAACGTGATATTCCAAGCATAGCTCTTTCGATTCCTCTTTGAGAGACCCGAATAGCGTTCTCATCCTGTTTGTGTAGGGCCCAGGTCTCTGAGGCATATGTTAATGCAGGAAGAACAGTGGAATCGAAGAGATGTGCTCGGAGCTGGTGGTTCTTTGTCCTCTTAGTTATTTTTATTGTTTTTAGTGTTTCTTTAATCTTGTTTCTTTAATCTTGTCCCTTTCTTTCATTTAGTCCCAGACTATCAATGATTCTGTAGAAATTTCTCTTTCCTCCTTTTTTGGTTGGTGCTGCTGTGCAGGAGGTCACCTGCCTTGGATGCGGGGCTTGCTTTTGTCATTGCTGGGGCCACCAGCTCTCTTCATGGTCTTTGTGCACTTCTTGGTCGCAGGGGTGACTTACTTGGTGACAGGGTCCTGAAGGACAGTGCATCTGACTTATGTTATGTGGTGGGAGTAGAACATAGGGGTTCACATTTGCAAGGCAGCACTTGGGCCACTGAACCGTCCCCAGACATAACTGGAACTCTCCTCTCAGTCAAGTCAAATATGTGGAATTATTTTCCAGCACCATTTTTTACATGCATACATATATGCACACACATGTGTGCGTCCCCCACACTCAATGGGATTATTGCCTAATACTATATTTTACAGACACACACACACACACACACACACATATCCTATGTTTAATGGGTAGGTAGTTGGAAATCTGGGCTGGAAATAATTTTCCAGAGTTTGAAGGCCTTGTTCTGTTATTTTTATTGTTTCTCTGGAAAAATTGGATGCTGTTCTTGGTATGCTCTGGTTTCTTCTCTAAGAATTTGATCATCTGTGTATGTCTTATGTTCTCTCTCTGTCTCTCTTTCTCTCTCCCTCCCCCTCCTTCTCTCTCCCTCTCTCCTCTTTCTCTCTCTCTCTCTCTCTCTCTCTTTGAATCACTGTGAGATAGACCACCACAAAGCTATTCATGATCGGGTTTCAGTTATTCAAAGATCTAACACCCATCCCTTCGCCAGTGTACGTTTCCCATCACCGATGTCCTCAGTTCTCCCCCTTCCCCCCCTCACATCTGCCTCAGTGCCGGGCACCTTTCTTCTTGCTCTTTCTCTCTCCTTTTGTGCATTATGGTTCGCAACTGGGTGGTGACTTTGGGTTGTGGGCATGACTGCTGGGGCTTCTGGAACTACAGGGAGGTGGGGGAGATGTAGCCCATCCCAACCTTGAGAGATCCTGTAAAAACAATGCTTTTTCATCTAAACTATAAATCTTTTGATCAGGGTTTAACATTGATAATACATTTTTTTTAGTCACAAAACCCAGCTAGCCAAATTTTCAGCAGATTAATATCTTGGTAAGGTCCGTCCCGCGATGGTGGAGTTCAGCCAGGAGGGTGGCAGCGATTTTGGATTGCGGGAGCAAGTGGCTGCCAGGGACTCTGCTTCGAAGGGGGACTTGGGGGAGGTGGGCACTGGCAAACCTGCCCCTCTCTGATGTACTCCATCTGCATAGCCTTGCACAGGTTCAAGATTAACTGTGACTTCTGACCTCTTTTGATGTTTGTTTATGGATCTCTGAAGCAGGGCCGATGAACGAGTTTGTATGAATGAGCCGGAGGTGGTTTGTGAGTGTGAATCTCACATACCTAACTTTTGGCGGTGTGATTTCATGGGAAACTTGGTCCTGAGTTGTTGGAGTCCAGTCAGAGGCACGGCAGCGGTTTGGGGTATCAGGAAGAATGAGGGGCACAGTCAGGCTGCCAGTGGACTTGCTCCACGGGCCCAGGTTAACCTGTCGGTAGTGCCATACCCCCTGCGCCCCAGCCAGGATACCAACGGGCACCTGCATTCTCTCATGCAGCCGTTTCTTGGCTCCCTGGGTTGTTCCGAGTGCTGAGAGCTGCCAGCCTGCTGGCGCTTGCTGCTGTACTTCACCGTCTGGACCTCAGCACTTCTGCAGACTTTGGAATCTAGTTCTAACTATGGAATCTAGTTCTAAAGCTCCGTCTTTTGTGCTCTTAATTTCTCAGTAACACATATGCTAATGGGGGGTTTGGGTATTGCGTGAGGTCCTTGAGTACCAAAGCACATTTCCTCTGTCCCAGAACATTTCTTGTTTCACCTTTATTATGTTTTTAATGATTTCCGCCTTTTTGTATTATCTGCTCTCTCCTTGAAGAAATCATTTTGAACACTGTGACTTATTTTTTTAACCCTCCAGTTGTCAAGTCTCTTATCTCTTTGCCTTTATCTTCTGAAGGATTTTTTCAAATCTTCCAGAATGGGTCCGCTTAACCTATTGAACTTTTTACATCTGCTGTCATAGTTTTTACCCGATTTTAAGTTATGTAAGTCCCATTTCCTGTTTTCTTTCATATTTTTTTATGACATTCTGATTTGATTTTGGAGGTACAATACCTTCTCATACTTTTCAGAGGGTAGTAATTATTGTATAGGAAAATTTTGGGTTTTTTTTAACATTTTCTTTCTTTGCACTGTTGAGTTTGGGGACTTTATTTTGCCTTCCTTTTATTGGAGATATTCCTGATGCCATGGCATCAGGATTTAAGAGGGAAGCTCTGAGAAGTGTGTGGTGTGGCAGTAAGAGTCACTACTTGGTGCATCTAGAAACAGATGACAAAGCAGGTGCCTTATCATTTGAGGGGAGTCTTCTTGTTCCCACAGTCTGAGCTTTCTTGGTTTGAGCCTCTAGTGTCAGGAGTGTCTGCCATCATTGTTGAGTTGAACATGGGAACAGAATGCCTTTTTAGTTTTGCCCAGACTTCTGGAGTTGAGAAACTAGTACAAAGTTTGTCTCGTACGACCTCTCCTGCGTGTATCTCCTTCCTGCTGCCCTGGCGATAAAGAAGTCTTCCCCTTGCAGCACTGGCCAGGGAGGGTTTGTTGACTGACGTAATCGTTAACGTGGAAACTGTGAACCCAGTCACCTCCTTCCAGTTCCACACACATCACGGCCTTTCCTTGCTTCAAGGCCTTTGATTACTTGAATCTTTCTAATGTTTGCAGTGACAGCAACGTTGCATATTGATTTGTTCTTCTGAAATACTTACTAATGTCCCTATTAAATAGGAAATTGAGGCATGGCAGGACCAAGCCCCTACCCCAAAATATCCCCAGCAGGAAAGTGGTAAACTCAGAATTAGAATCACACCAATCTGTTTAGACTCCAGTACTACCTTTCAGTTTAGACCAGAATGTTCTATATTAGGTTTTCACGCAATTTCTGCACACAGTTATGTTTCTCAGCTTGCTAAATGAGTGAGTCCCAACTGTCTTCCGAAATTTTAACGATGACATTTTGTTGTCTTCCATTCCTTTTGTCACTCTATCCTGGTGCTCTTTTTTTTTTTTTTTTTTTCATTTTGAAAACAGATACATGTCTGTGTTCAGCCCATGTTTTCAGCTGAAATTGTTGCAGTTATCAGCACTGGCTCTGTGTCGTGAATGTTACGCTTTTGTTTTCCTAATTCCTCCACAGTTCATGTATACACTCCTTTATTCCCAGGTTGCCGGACAGGGGAAGCAAAATTGACGAAAGGATTTCATTTAGCTGCTCGGTTCATCATTCACACCGTGGGACCGAAGTACAAGAGCCGGTACCGCACAGCCGCCGAGAGTTCCCTGTACAGCTGCTACAGAAACGTGCTCCAGTTGGCCAAGTATGCCGTCCCTCTCTCCCGGGCAGGAACCCGAGGCGCTGGGAAAGGCTGGTGTGAAAAGGAAATGGATCTGTAGAAGTCAAATTTTGAAGGATTTGACAATTTAGGAGGACCCTGAGATAGAATTATCTTCTCAGACTTAGCAGAGCAGATAAACACACACAAGGCACTGTGAAAGGAACAGATCGGAGGGACTTCGGATTTTCACCTTTCAGCAAGATGTTACCATTTTGCTCAGTTTTTGCTGGAAGTGTTTTCAATTAAGTTTTGTATTAGTGCAATTATTAAGTGGTGAGTGGGCTAACTGTTGCAGTAAATTTCTTGAATGAATGGGAAGGGGAAATTGAGTTGCTTTTTTCAGTTACGTTTTGTTTTGTTTGTACTATGAATATTGGTAATGCCATCTCTCTGTTTTCTGTTTGATTTCAGAGAGCAGTCAATGTCTTCTGTTGGGTTCTGTGTCATCAATTCTGCAAAACGAGGTTATCCCTTAGAGGATGCAACTCACATAGCACTCCGTAAGTCACACGCTGCGCAGAGCTGGCACGTCACTTTGGATGGGTACTGCACAATCAGTTTTTAAAAACATTTTTTTCATCACTAAATAGTTGTAGCCAAAGAAAATTTGTTGACGTACTAGTAAATTGTGACACCCTAGAGGGATCTTTGTATTGGCAAGTTGCGGAGTTCTCAGTTTACATCCTTCGGTTGGCATTTTTATCCACTTAATTAAAGGATTAAAAGCATATCTACGAAAATTGAAGATAATACCAAGCAAGTAGAGTGGTAATGCATTTGTTGGGTTTTTGAATAATTCAAATAATGGTAACAGGCTGAAATAATGGAGTCAAAATAGATTTGATAATGGCCAAGTTGTTTGTAAACTTTACGGTCTGTGGCATTTTGAAATGAAAACCTACATTTGGATTTTTAAAAAAAGACAGGACTTAATTTTTATAAATTGAAATGCATTATGTGTGATACACAAATAAGATGCTTGGCTTCAGAGCCTCTGTGACCCCAGGATATTCTATGTAAATTCAGACTCAAGGAGAGTTGTGTGTATAATGCCCATGTTTCATGAGACATGGGACAAACTGACGGGCCCACAGTTTAACATCAGTGTTTTTTCTCCTAAAGAGAAACATCGCTGAGCCTCACGAAGCCCATTTTCACATGCCAGCCTGATTACAGGCTTCCTCTGTGCTGTAGTGCTACTGCAGCACAGAGGAAGCCTGTGGAAGTTCTTTAGGTGTTTGGAACTCAGCTGAAGCTACACTTAGTATCTCAGGAAAGAAAGTTCTACTCCATCCTTGCCCAGTTCCTCCCTCTAACATCTCAGAGTGCCCCAAGTCCTTGTAAGCATTGTTACAGCGAAGGTCTCCAGCTAGTGAAGGCAGGTTTAAGACCAAGTATCAAGGAAGAAAGGATCCTACTTGAGATAGGATTGCTTGTAATAGAAAGTTTTTTTTAAGTTAACTTGGCCCTCTTCTCATGCAGAGACTTTCTTTAATGCCATCTTTCTTGTCTCCATTTCTTGCTAAAAGAGTGAAAATTTAAAGAGGCAGCATCATTTTGTAGAAAAGGAAAGAGTCAAGAAAACTGGGTTTTGTTCCCGGTTCTTTCATCTAACTCTAACTCTGTGACCCCAAGTAGACTACTTGCTGTGTGATGCGATATTAGCTTAAGCACTAATTCTAATAGCAGTTAAAGAGTAACAGTTAAGGATAAAAGATTTTAATGAAAAAATTTTTAGGAATTTATTTAGCATAGAGGGTTTAAGATAAACCGGAATGAAAAAGGGTTTAAGATAAGCAGGAATAAAAAAAAGGGGAAACCTAAGTTACATTTTATAAGGCCTGTTGGACTTATTACACTATAAATCTAGCAGCAAAACATAGATAACTGTGCCCTTTGCTCAAAAATTTTCTGAGCACTTGGCAAATAAATGGCTTGTTGGCCTTTGTGGCATATATGGGCCATCAACAGACCTAATCATATAATTCTAAATCTTTAGTACCAAGAACTTTGTTACTAATTAGCCTATGAAAAGAAATGATTTCATTTGAAACCTAGGTAATGTCTTCATGAGTGCCTTAAAGCTGTTTAATTTTTTGTTGGTTCATGAGTAATTCAGTTCTTCTGAAAAACTCTTAAAAAATCTGCATTAAAACAAATTTAACAGGTTAATTATTCATTCAGCAAAACTGTGGGTTAGATTTACTATATAAGAAAGGAGACCGTGGTGAGGAAAAAGACCCAAATCAAAGAAGCAAACAAAAAAACCCTATTCTTTTGCTTCCAGAGTAGACATTTTAATGTGTCCGGTGTTATCCTTAGCAATTATAGGATTTTTACTGAAATTTAGATATGTAATTCAAATTGGTTACAAGGCATACTGCCCAGCTGAAACTTGGGAAGGAATAGTCTGGAGTGACAGACTTTATTTATTTATTTATTTATTTATCTACTTATTTTAATCGCTGTAAGATACAGTTGCAAAGCTTTCATGTCTGAGTTTTGGTCATGCAGTCCTCAACCAACCATCCTTTCATCAGTGCACACTTTACGCCACCAAAATCCCCAGTATCCAACCACCCCTCACCCAATCCCAACCTTTCCCCTGCCCGTGTGGTAGACAATTTCCACAATACTCTCTCTCTACTTTGATTACATTCAATATTTTGACACCAGTCCCACCGTTATTATTTGGAATTTTCCCGCTACCGCTCAAACCTGTCTGCAATGCCAGACAATTTATTTTGTATTGCTTGTTGTGAACAGCATATGATGTCACACGTCCGCAGGTGGCCGTACACTCCTTGAATTCTAAAATTTTAATAATTGGGGTCTGGAGCAATCTCTTCAGTGAGCTGCTCGGTTCCGAGATTCTTTCGTGTGTCTCTGGAGTGACAGACTTTACTTCAGTGTTATAGTCATGACTTGATCCTTTCATTTCTCTTTTCTGCAAAATTCCACCGATAAATTAATTCTCCTGTAGGAATTCAGTTTGGTTACTTGTCTTCCAAAATAAATCCCATACATATATATGCTAGTGATGATTATGTATAGACATTAAATTAAAAATTAAGTTGGTACCAAAATAGATAGGATAGGAGAAAATCACTTAAAATTTTTATTAATTATTAAAGCAGAATAATTAGGGCAATCAAAACTGTACGTGTTGCCTCACAGGAAGAATTACAAATATTTGCCAAGTCCTTGAATAAATTTCTCTGCTTTTTAGCTTCTCCAGTTACAGTTGTCACAGCTGGATAATGTGAAAATAAACAGAGTCGTAAGAGGTTAATTCAATTACGAGTTCCTTTTGAACAATCACTGTCACTGTCCTCTCATTGTTCATCGATTTGCTCAAGCGGGCACCGGTAACGTCTCACAACAAATTGTGAGACTTGTTGTTACTGTTTTTGGCATATTGAATAATAACTGTTCTTATTTTTAAGGTGTAATAGATCCCATAAGTTAATATAAGCTATATAGTTTTTTAAAAAGTTTATAGTCTTGCTCTCGGAGAGCCCGGCAAGCTACCAAGAGTATTCGATATGCCAGACACAGTAACAACAAAGTCTCCAATGGAGACGTTACTGGGCCCGCTCGAGCAAATCGACGATCAACGGGAGGGCCTTTACCTTTACCTTTTATAGTCTTGCTATAAAATGCTGTGAGAAATAGTTGCTAACAGGCTTATTAGCAGAGCATCATGGAATCCCACACAAAAGAGGTGGATCAGAATGGACCTTGAAAAGTAAATTGGAATTCAGTCAGGAAAGGTTAGGGCCAGTGAATGGTTAGAGGTTATCCAGTAAGGAAAGGTAGCATGGCTGGAATTTAAAAAAAGTAAAGTAAAGTAAAGGCCCTCCCGTTGATCATCGATTTGCTCAAGTGGGCCCAGTAACGTCTCCATTGGAGACTTTGTTGTTACTGTGTCTGGCATATCGAATGCGTCACGGGGAGCTTGCCAGGCTCTGCCGTGCGGGCGAGATACTCTCGGTAGCTTGCTGGGCTCTCCGAGAGGGGCGGAGGAATCGAACTCGGGTCGGCCGTGTTGGCTGCGTGCAAGGTAAACGCCCTACCGCTGTGCTATTGCTCCAGCCCCATTTTAAAAAAGAGAAGCTAATTTCACCGAAGCACAATGTTTATGGGTGAAGTAACTGGAAGTAGGATTAAGAGGAAGGGGCCTAGGGGTCAGAGTATGGCCTGGGTCAGAGTTTGAAGAGCCACGCTCGGGACTTTGAATCTTACCTCCCTGTCAGTAATGGGAGTCTTGTTTGTTTGTGGAGCACCACCGTGTGTGGACCGAGAAGGAGCAAACTAGGTCAGTGAGGCAAGGATGAATGTGCAGATTTGTCATTTTTTTTCTTGTTTTGGAGTTGGGAGGTGGGGGGAAATGCTCCCCGCTCTGACGCCTGGTGCTGGGGATGAAACCCAGGGCTCCATCGTGCACAGCATGAGCTCAGCTCTTTGAAGCATCTCCCAGCCCTGAATATATAGACTTGGAAAAGAAAGAAACATGGAGCTTAAGAGTTTAAGGGCTTAACATGGAGTTTAAGAGCTTTTTACCGGAGACTTTGTAAACATTAAGCGACTCAGAGCAGCTGGAAGAGAAGGAACGCATCTAAGAAATATTGGCAATCGAATTTAAGGAGATTGTTAAGAAAATGCAGGATAAGGGAAAAGGTGAAGGTGGAAAAAAAAAATTAAAATTCTAGCAAAAGTGAGGATTGTGTGTTGTCTGAGAGAAAGAACAAGCTTTGCAAGGAAAAGGTGGAAATAAAGCTTGGACCTGTTGAGCCAGGTCTGAACATTTGGAATGTGAGTTCACTGAACTTCCTGGGTGGATATGCTATGTAGGCAGTAGGGAATTTATTTCGTTCAGAAAACAGAGTAAAAAGATTTGTGAGCCCTCAGCATTTGGGGTTAATGCCTGACCAGAAAATTAGTGTGCTGAAGAGAAAATACGAATCCGTTGTGTGTGTGTATTAGTGTGTATAGTAGAGTGTTATATGTCTATATTTATGTAATCATGACAAACAATAGGTAATTATAATACATAGACTTAAAAAAATTGAAAAGATAGAAGAAGCTTGGTAGATTTTTTTTCTTTGTTTGTTTTTCTTTTTTTGGGTCACATCTGGCAATGCACAGGAGTTGCTCCTGGTTCACGCACTCAGGAATTACTCCTGGCGGTGCTCGGGGGACCATATGGGATGCTGGGATTCGAACCTAGGTTGGCTGCGTGCAAGGCAAATGCCCTCCCCGCCGTGCTATTGCTCCCAGCCCCCTGTAGATGTTTTTTAAAAGTCAGATCTACAGGCCAGAGAGATAGTACAGTGGGTATTGCAGGCAGCTAACCGAGAGCTTTGATCCCCGGGCACTCCAGATGGTGCTCCCAGAGCACTGCCAGGCGTGACCCCTGAGTGCATAACCAGGAGTAGGCCCTGAGCACAGCTGGGTGTGGCCTTTGTTCAGGAATAAAGCTGGAAACAATAACAGAAATTCAGTTTTGCTGAATGGGCTTTTGACAGTGAGAAAGGGCTGAGCCAGAGAACTAACGCTGTTAACTGGGCAGTGGGAAAAGGCCCCCGATAGATCGTTTTGATCACACGCTGGCCCAGGTAGTGAGCAGAGTGTGCTGCGTCAGGGAGACTTTGTTCCAGAATCAGTGCCTTCCCTTGCCAGGCACTATTTTAGACCCAGGCAGAGACCAGTAAATAAAATAGAGCGCTCATTGTTGGTGCTCATTCTAGCAATGGGGCAGTGGAGTGGGCAGGGAGGAGAGCTAGTGAACAGGAAATGCGACGAAATGGCCCAAGAGTTCCCTGAGGAAAACAAATCAGGAAAGAATTTTTAAAGAGCAATTTTTGGGGTGCGGTGCTGCCAGCAGGTCAACCTGTATCCACAGGGCAAGTGCATTTGCAGCCTGGTGGTGCCTTCGGGCTTCCTGTTACCCCAAAATTGCCACTGTGCCTTTGGCTGGACCCCAACAACTCAGAACCAAGTTTCCCAAGAACTTAAAGGGACAAAAGTTAGGTAGATGGGAGCCATGCCCACAAATTACCTCCGGCTCTGGTGTTCAAGCTCGTTTATCAGCATTGCTTCAGAGACCCATAAATAAATCTTGAAAGAGATTAAAAGCCACAGTTAATCTTAATCCCAAGCCAGGCTGAACAGACTGGATTAAATCCAAGGGGGCAGGCCAGCCTGATGCCCACCCGGCAGAGTCCCTGGCAGCCGCTTGCTTCCACAATCCAAAATTCCCACCATGCCCTGGCCAGACTCCACTGTCTCAGGAAGGAACTCACCAAGATATAATCTGCTGAAAATTTGCGTATGTGGATTTTGTGACTGAAATCACAAATCAGGCTTTCTCGGCGTTAGGGTGGGCTACCTTCCCCCACCTCCGTGTTCTTCCAGAAGCCTCAGCAGTCATGCCCACGCCCCGAAGTTGCCACCCAGTTACAAAAGCTACTGCAGCCTTACCATCCTGATAAAAATACTGAATGACCTGAACAAACATGATGATCTCTTAGTACCTTTTGCAGAGCATAAAGCACAGAAGGAAAGAGAAAGAAGAAAAGTGCCTGCCATGGAGGCAGGCTGTGGAGGAGGGGTGTTGGGGGTGGTGGGAGGGAAACAGGGCATCGGTGGTGGGGAAGGTCCACTGGTGGAGGGATGGATGTTGTATCATTTAATGACTGAAACCCAGTCATGAACAGCTTTGTGATGGTCTCTCACGGCTATTCGAAAAAAATGTTGTTAACTAAAAAAAAGGTAATTTTGGTAGACCTCACAATAATTTGTATTCCAGCAGAGACTTGAATAAATTGAGGAATGATCCTCACAAAAACGATACCCTTAAGTTTGTTTTTCTTTGCACATAAGTGATTTTTTTTATTTATTGAATCATCTTTCTTTTTTCCTCAGGCACCGTAAGGCGATTCCTAGAGATTCATGGGGAAAGCATTGAAAAAGTAGTATTTGCTGTCTCTGAACTCGAAGAGGTATTTTGCTGATAATGTTGTGTTCTTTGAATCTTGTTTTTACTTGTGTTTACATTTGTCTTATTATTAGCTGATTTGCCAGCAGGCAAATCCTAATTATCTGTGCATTTATTGGTAGCAGGGCTTACCATTTGTTGAAAAAGACCTAAAATCAAGTCAAGAAGAAGGGTTTTGTTCTTTTTCTTCACTGCCGACCTGTTGTCTTTCAGTGAGATGCTGTAAGGTGCAGCTGTTCTGCTGTGCTCCTCGTGGTGACTCGTAGGCCGTCACACGAGCCCTGGGTGTCTGTGTAACATGAGGGGAACCTCGCTGACCTGAGAAAGGGCTGGTGTCCGCTGACCTGGACACAGGTGACAGCTCTGCCTCAGGTCTGGCACTGAGCAAGCATGGGAATTTATGCTTTGTTACATATAATTGTTGTTGTTACAACAAGTCTCACGATGGAGACGTTACTGGGCCCGCTCAAGCAAAAATCGATGAACAACGGGAGGACAGTGACATACAATTAGGTTTTAATATTTTTCTAATTTACTTTAGGGCCAGTTTAGACGATTAGTTCTTTCATATGCCTATTCACTTTGTTTCACTGTGCTCGCTCCCATTCATCCTGCCCAATTTTCCAATTTTGTGTCCTCGCCTAATTTCTTCACTTCCCTGGGCTTTGACAGAATAGAAATATCATTGGTCCTTACAGCATGGAAGTTTTATGTTAAGTGAGTTAATGCATTTGAAATTCTTATTCGAAGTATATGTGGTTGCATACACGATCCTGAAAACGTTTGGAATTTACCAGAATCAGACTCCTTTGTTTTGTTTGCTGCCTCTCTCATTTCACCCGTTTCCTCTCGCCATCATCTAGCGAGTTTTTATGGCGTGTCTAACAATCATCGGGTTTCCTCTGCTAATTCCTGGGAATATGCCAAAGAACAAGTTGTGGACACTATTAAAAGAACTCGACTCCTTGGCTGGAGCAGTACCACAGTGGGTAGGGCATTTGCCTTGCACTCAGCTGATCCGGGTTCTATTCCCAGCATCCCATGTGGTCTCCCGAGCACCGCCTGGAGTAATTCCTGAGTGCCTGAGGCAGTGCCTGTGCATCGTGGGGTGTGACCCAAAAAGAAAAAAAAAAGAAGAAGAACTCAACTCTCGGTGGAGACAGATCACAAATCACAAATCACCCTGTTATTCGTCGATTGCCTCGAGCAGGCCCCAGTAACGTCTCCTTCATCCTAGCCCTGAGATTATATTCAAGGCTCTTTAGGAGAATGAGACCCATCATTGTTACTGGTATTTGGCATATTGGGTACGCCACGGGGAGTTTGCCAGACTCTGCCGTGTGGGCAGACTACATTTGGTAGCCTGCCAGTTTGTCAAAGTAGGAATGAGATAATAAGATGTCATAATAAGATGTCGCGCGGCCGCGAATGTGGCCACGTGGTTCCGGGAGCTGGTTTTTATAGTCTCTGAGTCTTGGCCGCTGATGGGATTACATGGCGCCAGGGGTCCAGTTGGTGGATGTGACCCCCACCTACTGGAATTTGGAGGATCTGGGTGGAGGATGCTCGACTCCAATCCGAGTAGGCTTGGAGATCTCGGCCCCGGAACCCACATGGCTTTGTCTCTCTGCCAGTACCTTCATGTGTGCGGAGAGTGGTCTCAGCGTGGTGGTGGCTGATCCTGGAGGTCTTCGGCTGCCAGAGCCCTGGTCGGGGCAGGGAGGAAAGCTCAACCCGCTCCCCTCCAATGGGCCCCAGTGAGGACAGCTAGGCGCGGGGGCAGGAGACTGCCGGAGACAGATCATTCAGATCATTCTGAGATTGCCCTGAGGGAGATACAGGAAACTTAGGGCCACATTATTCCCATTGGGCTTGGGGTTATGGATACTTTCCATAGAAAGTGGTATGTAAGTTAAAATAATTGTTATAAATAAAATTTTCCAGGGGAGAGGCAAGTGACAGTATGAGCATGAACAAAAAGATTAATATAAAAGGTGTATTGTTGCTAGTGATAAAATGTGAGATACGGCTCAGCAGATTTGAAAAACAGCCTGGCAGGTCACTCAAAGTTCCACTTGTGGTCTTGAGCTTGGGCCTTGTCACTTAGGCTGTGAAGAAACATAGACATTAGGACCATACAGAAACGTACTTAGGGGTTTTTACACAGACAAGAGATAAGGCCTGACTGGTAGTTCCACTTAGAGGAGAGGTTGGAAGGGAAAGGCTGGTGACAAGCGTGAAGAGGAGACGCAGGGCGGGGTCAGAGCTCGGGAGAGGCCGACTCTGACCTGCTTCTCCAGGTGCGACTCTAGAGGCCTCCGAGCACCACCAAGATGTGTCCCTGTTGGTCCCCAGCAAAGTCAGCTGTAGTCTCTGGTCGTAAATGCAGACAGCTAGTTAACGATGCCCCCACCAAGGCAGCCAGAGGAGAGAAGCAGGAGAAAGATTCCATTTGGAGTGTGCCGGATCGTAGGCAGGAGCATCGGGACAGATGGTGAGGCCATCGTACTGCCCAGCCTGAAGCACAGAGTCGAGTCTGGGCATCAGCCGTTGTTCTTGCGCAGGACATGCAGAGTAAGAGGAGGCTCCTGCCCTTCTCGGTTCCAGCCCAGTGAGGACCCAGCCAACAGTGGGGCAGATGCCATGCAAGGAGCATGGCCCTCAGTGCCCTGGCAGTGTGTGGGTGCCCCTAACCCTGGTGCATCCCAAAAGCCAGTAGTCAGCAATATTTATCATGTAGATCCAAAGGTGTCTTTTAAAAAGGATTTTCTTTTTTTTCCCCCTTTGGTTATTTGTGAATGGTTTATTGAGGAATAAAGGAATAACAGAACAGTTTCATAGGCATGTCGGTAAGAATTCAAACACAACAGACCTCTTTGTACCAAGTAGACCTTATTGCATGAGTATCATAAACTGAAAAGTCAAGCCAGGAGTTAGAGATCCCACTGTCAAATTTGGGCTGGAGCGATAGCACAGCGGTAGGGCATTTGCCTTACACACAGCCAACATGGACGACCCGAGTTCGATTCCTCCACCCCTCTCTGAGAGCCCGGCAAGCTACTGAGAGTATCTCGCCCGCACGGCAGAGCCTGGCAAGCTACCCGTGACGTGCTCGATATGCCAAACACAGTAACAACAAAGTCTCCAATGGAGACGTTACTGGGCCCGCTCGAGCAAATTGATGAACAACGGGAGGACAGGGACAGGGACAGGGACAGGGACTGTCAAATTTAGATAGAGAGGATTCAAAAGCAAGTCCACAGAAAAACTTGTGAGTGACTGTTCACATTAGCATTATTCCTGATAGTCAAAAAGTGGAATCAATTAATTGCTGGTGTGGCCTAGACCATATGGTATTATTGGCCTATGGGAAAGTGTATACTGATATTTGCTGCAAGGTGGATGGTCCTTGGAAGCATCGTGCTAGCTGAAAGAAGCTAGGCACAAAAGGCCACGTGTTATATTCCATTTGGGTAGGATTGGGGGGGTGGGAGGGTGGGGGATGCAGTCTCCCAGTCAAAGCTTAGTGGGCCCCAAACCAGGCAGGTGGTTCCTTGCTCAGCCCAGCCATGTGACGTTTCTTGGGCCCAGGAGTGCAAGGGGGCACCACAGCCGTACCCAGGGTGCCCCTGGGGGCTGCCAGTGCTACACCTGTGGTAATGGGGAGTCTGGCAGTGCTGGGAACCAAGCTGCATCCTCGCACAAGTGGTACAGGCATCCCTGAGCCCTGATATGACCTAGCGCTCTCTGCTGTAATCCACTGTCATGAAATACCCGGCATGTGCAAATCCAGGGAAACAAATGAGGCACTGGGGTGATGAAAATATTCTTCGATTGTATTGATGAATTCATGATTTTCTGAATGTAGATCTTCATTTTTTTTTTAGCTGCTGCTTTTTTATAAATTATACGACTTATTTACAGTAAATGCCTTCTATATATCGACACTGAAAAATGGTGCAGTACTCTGGGTGACTCAGTTAAAAAAGTGATGGAGGGGTCGGAGCAACAGTACAGCGGGTAGGGCGTTTGTCTTGCACGCAGCCAACCCGGGTTCTGTCCTCGACATCCTGTCTGGTCCCCCAAGCACCAAGAAGTAATTCCTGTGCAGAACCAGGAGTAACCCCTGACCATTGCTGGGTGTGACCCAAAAAGGAAAAAAAAAATGTGATGGATAATGACTTAATTTTTTTAATTTTTTTTTTTTTTATTAAACCACAGTGAGATATACAGTTACAAAGTTGTTCACGATTGGCTTTCAGTCATACGGTGTTTCAGCACCTGTCTCTTCACTGGTGTGCAATTCCCACCACCATTACCCCCCTCCCCACCTCTGTGGCAGGGGAATTATCCTAAGCAACTTCATCGTTCCTTTAGTTTCTTTTTATTCTAGTTTAGCCCATTTTTCTTAAGTAGTGTTGGAAATAATTAATGAGTAATAGTAAAATAACTCCTAGATGATGTAAAAGCAGAATGTTCCAAGATACAGGGAAACTTCGAAAACTTAATGGGTCACTGCAGTGAGCCTACCCGCGTGGAAATGAAAAGATAGCAGTTTGGCTTTTGGCAAGAACGCTGCTTCCATGGTAGGCGTGGGTGCCACTCAGGGACCTCCACATACAAGGCACGTGCCCCAGAGCCTTCCGGGCTGATTTCCTGGCCTATGAGTTTCACTTTAAAGTAGAATTCTTTTTGTTGTTTTTGCAAAAACTTGTAAAAGGAAGGATAAAAGTCATGAAATATAAATCTTGGGGCTGGAGCCATAGCACAGCGGGGTAGGACTTTTGCCTTGCACGTGCTGACCTGGGTTTGATCCCCGGCATCCCATAGGGTCCCCCAAGCACCGCCAGGAGTAATTCCTGAGTGCAGAGCCAGGAGTAACCCCTGAGCATCATTTTGTGACCCCAAATGCCCCCCCCCAAAAAAAAAACACAAAAAAACCTTTTCAAATAATTTGAGCTGTGTTGGGGAAAAAAGACACACAATTGCGAAAACAAAAACTGGTTCAAAGGATGGCATCTGAATCTTCCTGAGTTGAAACTTGAAAGACGATTCTTATCACTGAGGCCAGGGACGGAGATGGATGGGAGCATTGGGAACAGGTGGAAATGGTCCCAGCGGTGCCGTGTGCGTCGCCAGCATGGAGCCAGGCTCCCCTGACCAGTCGCCACGTCCCGGTCTCTCACGTGCACCGAGCAAACGCCAGGCCAGCGATGGGAAGCGCCTTCAGACCTTTGTTCTCACTGCGGTGCTTGCACGGTCGGTACAGAGTGCTGAGCACTGCTGGTGCTGCTGCTTCGTTGTTTTTCACGGCGTGTGTTCCTCTCCCGACACAGGCTACTTACCAAAGGCTGCTACCTCTGTACTTCCCAAGGTCACTGAAGGAGGAGAGTCAGTCCTTGCCGTTCCTGCCCGCGGATATTGGAAATGCAGAAGGGGAGCCCGTGGTACCGGAACGGCAGATCAGGATAAGTGAGAAGCCAGGGGCTCCAGAGGGTGCGTTCCGTCCTGTTTTAAAAATTGCCCTTTTCAAAAGCAAAGGGACTGCTACAGTACCAGCCGCCCAAAGAAGTAGGAAGTACAGCTTGACCTTTGAGAAACTGCCAAGTGTGTTCTATGACCAAGACCAACCTAGGTATTTTTTTTGTGTTAGGCTGGAGAGATACACGGGTAGATACAGTAAGACTCTTACTCCCGTGAAACACAGTTTCATGTAGGGCACTGTTAAGGTAGCAGTCAGTGGCATTTTTAATCTAAAAATCTCCACGTCAACAATAGCCTCTAAATTAATGTCCCTTACATTAAATAGCAGACAATACTGATAACTGTGTGTTTTGCTTCTTTGGGTTTTACATACTCATGTAGCTTGAAGCAGTAGGTAGGGGGTAGTCAGAGTGTGATCCTTCTAAATCTATTCCGCGAGATAGCTTGTCCTGTTCTTCAGGTCTACCTCACAAGTGTTGGTGCCAAAATTCCACTTGAAAAGGCACCTGGGAATTTCTGTGAGATTCCTCCTCTGATACTTTTCACTGAGCATCAAATTAAAAACCTGCAGGGGTCTGTTTATCTCGTTTTTGTAACCAGCACTCAGACAAATCAAGTGGAAGGAGTTTTCAAATGGTTTAGCATTGGAAACTGTGAACCAAACTTTGCTAGACACTTAACTTCTTCCAGTGAAGTACTATAAACACGTCCTGAACCCCTTTGAAATGTTTCACTGTGGTGGCCACCACATAGGGTATAATTTTTCCCAGATGCATAAAATGCATTTTGTATGGTGTAGTGAGAAGCAAAACCAGTTGGAGAAGACTTTGCGTTACTGAATATAAGTCCTATTCATTGGCCAGGTTTTCTTCTATCCATCATTTCATAGAAGGCTTGATCTCTGTTCGTATATTGCTAACATAGACATAGGCTTTGATATTCATAAATATTTTCCATTAGAATGTTAAGCATATTAAAATGTAAGATCAGTGCTGCTTGAGGGATTGAAAGATTTGTTCATGGATATTTTTCACAGATGCAGACTCCTATTAGTCACTGACCTGTCCTAGTCAGAGGAACAGCGGACTAATTAAGTGGTTTTCAAATGCCAGTGCAGACCAGTACTGGTTAGCAGGTGTTAAAATATTCAAAACCTGTGAACTTCATGTGAAGAAGTCCCAGCTAGATCACCCATGAAATTGGGAATTGGTTCATATGATTGTCTAAGGAAGTACCCAAGGGTCTAAAAATGTTTTGCTTTCTTTGTTTTTTGGCTTTTTTTTGGGGGGGGGGGGTGTCACTCCTGGCTATGCATAGGGGTTACTCCTGGCTCATGCACTCAGGAATTACTCCTGGCTATGCTTGGGAGACTATATGGGGTGCTGGGAATTGAACCCGGGTCTGCCGCATGCAAGGCAAATGCCCTACCCGCTGTGCTATTGCGCCATCCCCCATGGAGGATTTTGCTTTCTTAAAATTAAAACAAAATAAAACAATAACAGAAAAAAACTACACCCTGGGTAGGGTTGTGGGGAACTCAGTGAGATAAGATTCATTTCAGGCAAGGGAGATAGCGAAGAGGTGAGTATAGAATTTGCATGCTTGAGGCCTTGAGTTTGATCCCCAGACCACATCGCCCCCTGAGCCCTCTCTAGTCTGTTCGCGCCAGCATCATTGGTTCTAGAAGGCCTGTGTCTCAAGTCTGTGCACCTGTCAGGCCCAGCATTACTGGGTCACGTGCCGTCAGGAGTGGCCCCTGGGCACTGCGTAGAAGACCTAAAAAAAAGATGTTAGATTTTATTAGGAAAATATAGTATCGTCTTTTTTGGTAAACCAGGGAATTAGCTTATTTATTTGTTGTGAGAACTAACCATAACTCCTAGGGACCAGAATGATTGTGTTGGGATGACGAGTGTAGAAAGCCAAATCAGAGTCAAAACTTCTTTTTTTTTTTTTTTTTTGGCTTTTGGGTCACACAGATGATGATCAGGGGTCACTCCTGGCTCTGCACTCAGGAATTACCTGGTGGTGCACGGTGGACCATATGGGATGCCAGAGATTGAACCCAAGTCAGCCACTTGCAAGGCAAATGCCCTCCCTGCTCTGATCCCCAAAACATATTTTAGTGAATGCGAATCATTCCCTGCCACCCTGCCCACCCACCCCCATCTTTCTTTAGGACCAAAAGATGAGAGTTTATATTGCAAACAAATCCTGCAAGAAATTCTGGATATACGTGAGCTCTGTTGCATAATTTCTCATGGATTCACCGCCAAACTCTAATCCATATTTAAATTCACAGACAGTATACTTTTTCTAATTGTTTTCCCTTATAATCAGATTTTATTTTTTTCTTCCTAATATTATACCCAGGCCACCTTGATTTGACCTGCTGTACCCATGCTCCTTGTGTTGCAGAAGGTCTGATGATTTTTGTCATTACTTCAGTTTTCTAAACCCCCAACCCTGAGGGCCAGAGCGAAACTACAGTGGGTAGGGTATTTGTCTTACAGGTGGTCCAGCTGGATTTGATCCCCGGCACCCCATGTGGTTCCCTGAGCCACCAGGAATGAGCCCTGAGCACGGCCAGGTGTGGCTTAGAACCAAAAATAAAAATAAATCCCCAACCCTGAAATTCAGCTTCATTTTTAAGGGGGAAAAGAAAGTGACATTAACTTCAATTTTTAACTTATTTCACAATTATACCTATTGCAGTATTAGCATTCTGCATGTAATATTCACTGTTGAATGTCATCCTAACGTCTCCACTGATAACTGTTTTTGTTACAGACAGCCAAGAAGAAGAAGACGAGGGCTTGGGCGTCGATCTCTCTTTTATTGGCTCCCATGCTTTTTCTCGAATGGAAGGAGATATTGACAAGCAGAGAAGATTGATCCTACAGGGCCAGTTGTCAGAGGCAGCCCTGCAGAAGCAGCACCAGCGGAAGTAAGGCAGATAAATTCCCTTTGCATTGACCGTACAAACGAGACAGGAAAGGGCTCATTATCAGCCCATTGGTTCACTTAGTATGTGTCCGCTTTATCTTCGGAATAATTTAGTGAAGGGAGAAAGTGTCCCCATTTCATCAGCACAGAAACTCTAAGTTTCCAGTGTATGACACAGCCGGTTTTTTGGGCGCAGAGCTGGTGTTTATTAGAGCTCTTTCTCTTCTTCACTGTAATTGTAGATTGACCTCTGTCTGAGCTTCTAAAAGTGGAGAAACACAGAATTTTACATAACTTTTTTGTTTTGCTTTTTGGATTACACCCGGCAATACACTGGGGTTACTTCTAGCTCTGCACTCAGGAATTACCCCTGGCAGTGTTCAGGGGACCATATGGCATGCTGGGAATCGAACCCAGGTCGGCCACGTGCAAGGCAAACGCCCTACCCACTGTGCTATTGCTCCAGCCCCAAGAATTTTACGTAACTTTAATTAAAAAAGTATGACCTACATGTTCATGTTTCCTAAGCAATTCTGAGTAAATCCTTTTTAAATAAACATAAAGGCAGCTTTCAGTCTTCTGGGTCGGTTTTGCCAGATAAGTTTTCCCAAAGTAAGTCCTTGGAAAGCAAGCTGCTTTTCAGAAACGTTCAGGGAAGAGAAAAGTAATGAACTATAAATTCCTTTTCTTTTTGAGTCACACCCAGCGATGGTCAGGGGTTACTTCTCGCTCTGCACTCAGGAATTCCTCCTGGCGATGCTTGGGGGACCAGATGGGATTCCATGGATGAAACCCAGATTGGCCGCATGCAAAGCAACCCCCCTGCCTGCGCTGCTGCTGCTCTGGCACCTGAATTCTTAATATTAACTACTGCCTGATAGAGTTGGGTGTTGCTGTTCTCTTCAGTGTGGGGAATCTTGATGCATTAAGTCTTTTGCATGTTGCTGCTTGTTCATTTTGTTTTATTGTGGGGGCCATATTTGGCATGCTCAGGGCTTACACCGACTCTTCTCAGGGATTACTCCTGACAGGCTTGAGAGAGCATTGAAGATGTGGGAGACTGAGCCTGTGTGTGCGGAGGTCTGATGTGTACAGAGCGCTCTCCCTGCTGCCTCTGTCTCTGACCCCTCGTTCCCTTTGCCTCTGTAGCTTCTGCCTTTCTCCATATTTGGGCTCAGAAGCTGTTGCCTCTGGAAATTTAGCTTGAGTCTGGCACAGATGCCTCCTCCTGTGTCCTTTATCAACACCCTGTGCTCATTGAAAGCAGAGCTGAGCTCTTTGAATTGCATTTTGGGTTTGGGGGCCACGCCCAACAGCGCTCAGGACTTTTTCCTGCTTCTGTGCTCAGGTATCCCTGCTGGTGGTCCTCAGCAGCTTTTTGTGCTGGGGATGGAAACGGGGTGAAAGCACCCAACCTGCTGTGCTGTCTTCTCGGGCCCCCCCAGCAAAGTGTTTACCACAGTATTCTGTGGGATCTGGTTATTGTCATGTTTAGAGTTGGGGTTTGGTCTAGATGGCATCAGGAATTACACACAGAACTTTTTCTGTCTGTCTGTGTTCTTCACCGGCTTGTTACAGTTTTATAACTGTGTTAGCCACTAGGGGGCACCAATGAATAACTTTTCAAAATGATCTTGAAGCGGTTTCTAAACTTAATTCCTGGCTAAGAATCACACATGATTGGTTCTTTGGCGTCTGTATTTTTTATTTATTTATTTTTATTTATTTATTTATTTATTTATTTATTTATTGAATCACTGTGGGAAAGGTTACAAAGCTTTCAGGTTTAGGTCTCAGTCATGCAAATATCAAACACATTTCCCTTTACCAATACTTATTTTTTCCCATGAAGAACCCCAATAAAACCCCACCCCCCACCCCTCCCCGTCCCTGTGAGGCAGATGAATTCTAGTTGACACTGTATCTGCTTTGATTAGATTCACTGTTTCAATAAAAGATTCACCACTATTATTTAGAGTTTACCCCCCCCCCACCCCCCATCAGACATGCTGAAAAAGCATTGTGAAGTGATTTGCTTTCTACAGCTGGGTTCAAGAATTAAATGTTGGTTTTGGATTTCTGCTATTTTACCTATTGACCCTGGAAGTATTTCTACTGAAAGTCAGATAGTTAAGAAATTGGTTTCTGTGCTCTGGAGTCGTGGCCGTGCTGGAGAGCCGCTCGTGGGGGGCAACTGGTGGCCTCGGTAGGGCGTGAAGGGCGGACCGAAACGCCCCCCTTCACATGAGGTTTTATTTGGCGTCTAAATTTTTAAGCTTTGTCACGTCATAGTATATCCACTGATAAATTTAGTTACCTCTTTTATGAGTTAGTTCTCAATTATTTGTTCTCATATCTTCTTTGTACTCTTGAAAATTGTTCAGGAACACAAAGGAGTTTCTTCTGCATGCGTTTTGTCTATCAAGTACTTCTTTTTTTTCCCTTTTTGCCATTGTTTTGTTTGGGGGGCATCCCCAGAGATCCTCAGGGCTTAACTTTAGGCTGTGCTCAGGGATCTCTCCTGGTGGTGCTCAGGGGACTATCGATGATGCAGGAGTTTTAAACTGGGGTTGCCACATGCAAGACTGGATCCTTAACCCCTGCACTATCTCTCTGGCCCTGATAAATGATTTTTTTTGTGGGGGGGGGTCACACCTGGCGATGCACAGGGGTTACTACTGGCTCTGCACTCAGGAATCACCCCTGGCAGTGCTCAGGGGACCATATGGGATGCTGGGAATTGAACCCGGGTCAGCCGCATGCAAGGCAAACACTCTACCCACTGTGCTATTGCTCCATCCCTAAATGATGATTTTTAAAGAATCCATTGTACTTTTATAAATAAGGATCATGTATATTGGTAATTAGAAGAATTGCACTTTTCTGCAATTTTTGAAATCTTTAATGTTCAATAGAATGCAGTTAGATTCTTACTCAAACCATTGCATTAAGTTTTGGGTAAATTATATGAAGAAAATACAACCTTGGTCAGATACGTAGTTGGAACAGTAAGGAATATTATACTAGCCTTTACATAACCAAGCATTTTATTTTTTGATTTTATGCCATAGTGTGATAAATGGTAGTGTCTTAAAGTTTTAATGTAGAATATCAGATACCTGTAAATTTCTGTATATAGTAAAATGTGTTGTTCTGTGCTAAAATTTGAATGGGGTGGGTCTTTTGGTTGGTTTCTTACTAAGGGTTCTCTCCTGGCAGTGCTGGTATGGGGTGTTGGGGAGAAAGGGACTGAGGTGTACTTTAGATATCCTAAAGTATGATCTGCAGTCCCAACTGTGCCGCTTCCTTCTTTGGGAAGGACGAATAAAGAGCGGCACGTGCCATGGAGTGGACCACGGGCAAAGTGTATACTCATCCTGCTGAGCTGTCTCACTCTGAATGAATTTCCTTTTAAGATATATTACTACTGATGTCTGAAAAGCCTTCGTTAGGAACTGTAAGCTAGTGATGGAGACAAGTCTTCAAAAACTGCATATATAGTTTGTTTTTGAACTACAACGGGCAGTACTCAGTTCTTATTCCTGGTGCTGCACTCAGGGATCACTCCTGATGGGGCTCAGGGGATCATGGGGTGCCAGGGATAGGACCTGGCTCAGCACAAAGCAGGCACCCTATCAGCCAGACTCTTGCTGCAGCTCTGCAGAAGTGGTATTGCTGGGTCGGATGGGAGCTCAATTTCTGATTTTTTGAGAAACGTCCCTACTGTTTTTCAAAGGGGCTGAAGCAGTCGGCATTCCTACCAGCAGTGAAGGAGATTCCCCTTCTCCCCACATCCATGCCAACACCGGTTGCTTTTGTTCTTTTGGATGTGTGCCAGTCTCTGGTGTGAGGTGATACCTCATTGTTGTTTTGATCTGCATCTCCCTGATGATTAGTGATGTAGAGCATTTTTTCATGTGCCTTTTGGCCATTCGGATTTCTTCTTTGAGAAAGTTTCTGTTCATTTCATCGCCCCATTTTCTGATGGGGTTGGATGTTTTCTTCCTATAGAGTTCAACCAGTGTCTTGTATATCCTTGATATCAACCCCTTATCAGATGGGTATTGGGTGGGTATCCTTTCCCATTCTGTAGATTGTCTCTGTATTCTGGTCACTGTTTCTTTTGAGGTACAGAAGCTTTTTAGTTTAAGATAGTCCCATTAATTTATCTCTGTTTCCACTTGCTTCGTCATTGGCATGTCACCTTTGAAGATACCTTTAGCTTAAATGTCGTGGAGTGGTTTGCTGGCCTTTTTTTCAATGTACCTTATGGATTCTGGTTTGATGTTGAGGTGTTTAATCCATTTTGATCTGATTTTTGTGCATGGTGTTAGGTAGAGGTCTGAGCCCATTTTTTTGCATGTAGCTGTCCAGTTTTGCCAGCACCATCTGTTAAAGAGACTTTCCTTGCTCTATTTCACATTTCCTGTTCCCTTATCAAAGATTAGATGATCATATATTTGAGGGTGTGTGTAAGGATATTGCACCCTGTTCCATTGGTCTGCAGCTCTGCCTTATTTCAAGTACCATGCTGTTTTAATCGTTACTGCTTTATAGTAGAGTTTGAGGTTGGGAAAGGTGATGCCTCCCATCTTCTTTTTCCAAAAAATTGCTGTAGCTATTCGTGGGAGTTTGTTGTTCCATATGAATTTCAGGAGTATTTGATCCATTTCTTTGAAGAATGTCATGGGTGTCCTTATAGGGATTGCATTGAATCTGTATAATGCTTTGGGGAGTCCTGCCATTTTCACAATGTTAATTCTCCCAATCCATGAGTAGGGGATATGTTTCCATTTCCTCATGTCCTCTTTTATTTCTTGAAGTAGCATTTTGTAGTTTTTTTTTTTTGTACAGGTTAAGCTGATTCCAAGGTACCTGATTTTTTGAGGCATGATTATGAACAGGATAACTTTTTTCTTGTTACTTTCTTCTCTCTCATTATTTGTGTATAGGAAAGCCATCGCTTTTGGGTGTTGATTTTATAGCCTGCGACTTTACTATACAAGTCTAGTGTTTCTAGGAGCTTCTTGGTAGAGGCTTTGGGGTTCTTTGAGTCTTTGTGCCTCGACGCACTGATCCTGTCTGATCCTTTTACCGAGGATCGGTTGATTACCTATAGTGACTGGCCAGAGCTCCAGCTAACCTAAGAGGAGTCTTCAAAGCAGCTCCTAGGGCTTGTCTTCCTTCCCTGTCCGTCTCCAGTGAGCTTTCACAATCCAGCTTCAGAGGGACCGGAAAGACCCATGCATCTGGTTTGCACTTAAAAAAGAGTTACATTATGACCTTTTTCAAGCCCATTGTTCTCTCTCTCTCTCTCTCTCTCTCTCTCTCTCTCTGTGTGTGTGTGATACAAACACCTCTAATTCCTCTGTGAATACTATAGATTCTTTGGAATTTAAATGTGTGTGTGAACTGGTTTACTCATGCATGTCTTACAGATTCAGAATGAATCTCTACTTTGAGAACCAACATATCTGAAAATGTGTCGCCAGCAAAGGGGTGCTTCCCAGAAAGGGACATGAATACATGGAAATAGCAAACCTCATACCTGTTTCCCGATGGAGGGCCTCGGTCTGGAGATTCAGATGTGTTCCACAGTCACAGTTCCCTTTCAACCCAGGAAACTTTGAATATTTATAAGTCCAAATTACTAATCTGGATGCTGAAATATTCAGAGATAAGTAAGGTAGTCCCTCTCTTCTAGAATTCACGTGTGAAGCACAGTACCTTCAGATGGCAGGGGTGTAGTCGGAATGCACTGAACGGAGACATCCAGTCACATAGAGCGAGGGTTGGGGAAGAGGCATAGACTCTGGGTCCACATCCTGAGCCAACACGCAAAGACTCAGATTCTATGCAGGAACTACGTAGATGCCTCAGTGATAAGCTGCATTTGAAATCAAAGACCTTTGATTCTTCCTCTGTGTACCTCATGTCTGTGTCTGTGCTGATTATAGGTTAGATTGTTTTATCTTATCATGCCTACATCACAGAATACTCGGGGAAAAGTAACAGTAGCTCAAAAGTTCTGTTCAGGAAACCTGAGGTATTCAGTGTTACAGAACTGTGAACTGTGTTACTGAGACTCGTCCACCCCTTTCATTCATTCTCCTTCTCCTTGTTTAGGACTTTTCCAGAGGCTGCTCCCTGCGCATTGTGTTACAGCTAATCAAATGTAGAGCAGATATGAGAATCCAGTAGAAATTAGATTTACAAATATGTGAAGGAACATAACTCTTCCCTAAACAAGGATTTTTGTTTCATTAAATGTGAGTTCAGGGCTGGAGAGATAGCACAGCGGGTAGGGCGTTTGCCTTGCACACGGCCGACCCGGGTTTGATTCCCAGCATCCCATATGGTCCCCTGAGCACTGCCAGGGGTAACTCCTAAGCGCAGAGCCAGGAGTAACCCCTGTGCATCGCCGGGTGTGACCCAAAAAAGCAAAAAAAAAAAAAAGTTCAGGGGCTGGAGCAATAGCACGGCAGGTAGGGCCTTGCACACGGCCGACCTGGGTTCGATTCCCAGCATCCCATATGGTCCCCCAAGCACTGCCAGGAGTAATACCTGAGTGCAAAATCAGGACTAACCCCTGTGCATCGCCGGGCGTGACCCAAAAAGCAAAAAAATAAAGGGTGGGGGGATCAGTTCAGTTAATGTCCTGTAGCAAGGTATTCCCATTCATTGTTAATCGATTTGCTCGAGCAGGCACCAGTAACGTCTCCATTGTGAGATTTGTTGTCACTGTTTTTGGAGTATCGAATACGCCACGGGGAGTTTGCCAGGCTCTGCCAGGCGGGCGAGATACTCTCGGTAGCTTGCCAGGCTCTCTGAGAGGGGCGGAGGAATCAAACTCAGGTCGGCCCAGGTTGGCCATGTGCAAGGCAAACACCCTACCTGCTGTGCTGTCACTCCAGCCCCAGTTCAGATCATCGGCTTTTATTGTTTTTTAAATATATTTTTAATAAAATAGTAAGTATTGGTAGATCTAACTAGCAAAAACAGAAGTTCTTTCGGGATCCACAGTTTTTAAAAACAAAAAGACCTGGGGCCAGAGAGATATTCCAGCATGTAGGGTACTTCTTTTGCACATTACTGACCCAGGTTCAATCCTGGGCCTCCCATATGGTTCCCTGATTCCCATGTATGGTCCATTAGTGCAGAGCCAGGAGTAACCCCTGAGGGCCATCTGCTGTGGCCCAGAACAAACAAAAAGAGGTCTCAAGGCCTAAGAGTTGTAAAATTATGAAAAAAAAATGATAGACCGGATTTGTGCTCTGCCATGTGTTTAAGATTATGTGTTGTAATTTTAAATTTTCATTTTCTTAAACCAGGCGTATTTACATATATTTATGCTGGTTTCTATTGCTCGGGTTGAGCAAATTTATTCCAGTCGGTTACAAAGCAAAAGGTCGCAGCTTTGACACTTGCTGTGTGAATATTTTAACGTAGGTTGGATTGCCGATCTCATTCTGTCTTATCACTAAAGTTGCCTTTCTTTACAATATGTAACTTTATAATCTACTGAAGGCCAAGGACTGTTTATTCTCAGGTCCCAGAATACTTTCCGAAAGACTATGTTTACTGTTTCACTTAACAAGGCAAATCATCTGATAGAGGCAAGGTATTTATGCACTAAAGCTGAAAAATGAAAGTGAACACATAAATATAGAAATTAGTAGATATTACTGCATTCCTGTGTACGTGTTAATGCTGGGACCTCTGGTGCTTATAAGACATTAGAGATCCAGGGGAGCCCATCGGTAGGGCGTATGCTAAATCCGGGTACTGTTCCTGGCACGTCCTGGTTCCTCCCTGCACATGGCTGGGCTCAGTCCTGAAGACACTCCTCCTGGCGCTTTTCTGTGTTGTGGTAGAATTTCTCTTTCTAGGATACTGTGTCCTGAGCGGCCCTGGCAGCGCCGAGTGGCCTGGTTGGCCCAGCGCTGCGGGCCTGAACAGCACCACATCCTTGGCCCTTGCATTGAGCCAGTGACCTGCTCTATTGAGAACCGCCCTAGGTGCCCTGGGCCTCCTGAGCACTGCTTGGGAACCCCTTCCCTCCCTCACCTCCGACCCTGCAAAAAGTCATTAACAGTAGATCTGTCTGTTGTCTCTCGTAAGTCAGATAACTAACTTATAAAAATTTAGATAATAGCACAATTTGGGGGTAGTGTCAGTAGCTTTGGAAATAGAGGGACCGGGAAGTAGCTCAAGGGGCTGAAGCACTTGTTTTTTGTGAAGAAGCACTGGGTCCCCTCCTGGCACCACCTGGTCCCAGAGCACCAGAGTTAGTGCTCCCGCTCCTCCCCCCTCCGCAAAAAAAAAAAAAAAAGTGCATATAGAGAGGGAGAACTAAAATAAATACAGATCTTGACTTGCAAATTAAAACGTATGTAAGGTCTGTTGTCTTTGACCTCTCAATTTATATAGGTGGATGTTCCCAAGTTTAAAGCATACCAGACAATACACTCATACTACCTGGTATATTTTTCACAGGCAGTATGATACTATGATAACTATGATACTACATTAACAGTAGGCTGGGTTTCTTTTTTTTATTAGATTTATATATGGTAGATTTCTTATTAAGTGTTCTTAGTTGTATATGACTCTCCTTTGTAGAGAAAGAATGCAGAACACGGAAAGTCAGGGTTCTGCCTAGGTACTACTTTGTAGATTAGAAAAATGAGTTCCATAGACCTGGGAAAACTATTAACATGCCCAGAAGGGGGTATGATTAGAACCCAAGCCTTCTACATTTTGCTTAATGTATGTGGTATTACCTATTGTGGCCTTGATGGTTCAGAGTTGCTTTTTATATAGTTAGGTTCCCTGAAAGCTTTTCTTCACAATCTAATAATTGGTAATTACAATTTAAGAAAGTAGTCTGAAACAGAAACAATTACCGACCTTCCCAGAAATCTCAGAATCGGAGTCCAGCTTCACATTTGCCTGTCACTGATTGGCGGGTAATTCTAAGCTGTCTTCTGTTGGTCATTTCCCCTCTCTCAGTCTTTATCATATCTTCCAGGTGAGCAGCTTCTTAAATAAATCCAGACTGCAGACCTCTGCCTGGCGTAGGGGTCTCAGAACACTCGTTTTAAGGAATTAGCCATTAAAAATGCCTGAACTTCCCAGGCAGTTTCCCTGTTCCTTCCTGGTTCCACAGAGCATGCATAACACTTGGTTATTTTCCTCCTGAAAGGAAAATTCTTTGCAAGTTGCAGCCATTACTGACTCTTGTCTTCTCAATGCTGATCCTTCAGTAATGGCCCAGTAAGATTTTGAAGGTGTGAACATCTGTTTTGTAGGCCTGTTGTTACTTAGACTGTCTCTTTTTTTCAATAAAGGAAAACATTTGTACTATAAAGCATTATTAATTTGATTACTTGTATCTCGGTCATGTTTTCGGCCCTCACATGCCTTCATTTGATCCTAAAGGATTATTCAAGCATGGAATATGAACACCTTCCTTTATCAATAATGTCATTTATATCAGTCAGTAATATATAGTGGAGACCGCATAGAAAAATGACCTTAGCTTCTTATTGTAGTAAAGAAGCAGTTCTTTGGGGATAGTAAAAGATAAAATCAGGTCCATTTGTAAATTCACTTTACAGGAGTCGATTATAACAGTTATGTATATCCTTTATTTCTCTAGTTATAATCGCTGGTTATGTCAAGCCCGATCTGAGGATCTGTCTGACATTGCTTCTCTAAAAGCCTTATACCAAACAGGTAACTAAAATTTTTTTTTTGCTAATTAAGAACCCTATCTACTAGCCTGTTTTGGGAGACTTTATTTTTCCTTGAATTTGTTCATTTTATCATACAAAAGCTTTTGTTAGTAATGAAAATATTTTTTGCTCATCCAGTATTTAAAATAACAGTGAAGCCTATAACATTAACAACTTGTGACTTTGCATTGGCCAATTTCATTTTTTGTGCTGTCCTTTTTCCTTTGCATGTATAAATCCTCGGGTTTAGTTCCCAGCAACACACACACACACACACACACACACACACACACACATACACACAAATGCTCCCATGTATCCCACCCCATACTATACCACACACACAGTTCCCTGCGAAAAATATATAATACCATACACAAACACTTTTTTTTTTGCCTTTAAAGGTACCATGTGTTCGCTCACAAATTCAGATCTTACTTAAGTATACATTATGCCAAGTTCTTAGATCACATTCAAATATATCTGTTATAATTCAGTTACAGATTATATATTCAGTTAAATGTATTCACAGGCAAGACTGATTTCTAGTTTGAATTCTATTTCTTTTTTCCTGGATTGCCCGTGTTGATAAAAATTGGAATTGGATTTAAGCAGAAAGCTGTTTCTGAAAAAAAAAATCTTTATTTCAAAAGCTTACCTTTGGCTGTCCCAGATTAAAATACTGTGAGGAGACATTAAAGTCCTTGTGAAGCTTAAAAAATAAGGTTTTCCCTAAGTAAAAGAAAAGCTGAAGGTGAAGTTTGAGGGGAAAAAATTGTCAAAACCCAGGACAGATACTAATCTTGGTCATTTCTGGGTGCTGACTGCATTTCCTTTTTATAGGTGTTGATAACTGTGGCCGCACAGTGATGGTGGTTGTCGGAAGAAACATTCCTGTAACGCTAATAGATATGGACAAGGTAAGCAGGAGTTGGCGCTGTTTCCCAAATCAGGCTTACTTTAAAAGTAAGTGGAACAGGAGTTGAGAATTGGGCTTGGATTATGAAGTGGAGTGGAACTGAGCATCTGATAGAGTGGCAGTGGAGGACGAGCCCCTGGTTCGGCAAGTATCAGTTCAGTAAGTTAAGGATTTAGTTCCGTTCTAGGAGAAACAAAAATATTCAAATACCCCGATACAATCTCTCACACATGCAGCTTCTGTGTTGGGGTATGGTGGTTTTTTGTTTGGAACCACTCAGTATAAAAATTGGCTAGCCAGTTCTACTAGTTTTAAAAACTGAAAAATTCACTTTCCAGCATCAGTGTGAAAGGAGAAACCAGAGTAGTTAACCCAAGATGGCATAATTGGAAAATAAAAGTAATAAAATGTTCAACTTGCTTATAGTCCAAGAAAAGTGAATTAAAGGAACATTTTTGCCTTCAAAATTTGCCAGAACTTTTGAATAGCCATAATTATCAAAGATAAACTGAAACTATAAGCGTAATCACGCTGAGTATTGCTGGGGATGTCACCTATAGACCAGAAAAACAGAAAACACTAAAACACAATTGTGCAAGCAGATAATTGTTAGGTATCTGGCAAATCCTTAGACTTTTGGTCAATCGTGTTAACTTAACCAGACCTGTCATGTTAACCCAAAATTGTAGCTCTGTAGCACTGTCCTCCCATTGTTTATTGATATGCGCAAGCGGGCACCAGTAGTAACATCTCCATTGTGAGACTTGTTGTTACTGTTTTTGGCATATTTAATACACCACAGGGAGCTTGCCAGGCTCTGCAGTGCAGGCGGGGTACTCTTGGTAGCTTGCTGGGCTCTCCGAGAGCACTGTAGTACTGTCTTCCCGTTGTTCATCGATTTGCTTGAGCGGGCCAGTGAAGTCTCACAACAATTTGTGAGACTTGTTGTTACTGTTTCTGGCATATCGAATACATCACGGGTAGCTTGCCAGGCTTTGTTGTGCGGGTGGCTTGCCAGGCTCTCTGAAGGGGCGGAGGAATCGAACCCTGGTCGGCTGTGTACAAGACATATGCCCTACCCGCTGTGCTATGGCTCCAGCCCACCCAAAATTGTGATTTAAATTCTTACCCTGAGATTATGGTTTATCCACAAATGGAGAATTTGAAGAATCTTAATTGTACTCTGAAGGATACAATTAAGTACAATATATAGCCGTTTGATAAGAGCAGAAAACATAACAAAAAAGCAAGAACACAGAGGAAAGACTCAACTGATAGAAATTGTATCATTAATAGGTTTTTATTTGTGGTCATTGTATACTTAATCGGTGTGACATTTCTGGCATTTAAAAATGAAATTCATGTCGGGGCTGGAGTGATAGCACAGCGGGTAGGGCGTTTGTCTTGCAAGCAGCCGACCCGGGTTCGATTCCCAGCATCCCATATGGTCCCCTGAGCACCGCCAGGGGTAACTCCTGAGTGCAGAGCCAGGACTAACCCCTGTGCATCGCCGGGTGTGACCCAAAAAAAAAAAAGAAAAAAAGAAATAAAAAAAAATAAAAATGAAATTCGTGTCTCTCTTCTTTAAAATAACATTTCATGGGAGTTCATTCTAGGTAGCAATTGGAAAGAGACCTTGCTTTTTTTTTTTTAACTGCTCTTCTCTGTTCAGTAGTTATTTAATCCTAATCCATGTTGATGTAATGCCCAGGACTTCCCTAGAAAGGAAATTGGAAATAGCTGATTGATAGTAGTTCTTCAGTTGTTGCCTCTCAGTTTTCTCTGACTATTCATAGCTAAATAGCCCTGCTCAGATGACATCTCTGTGTTATAGAAAGAGTATTTTTCAAGCCTTCTGGGCTGGAGCAATAGCACAGTGGGTAAGACGTTTGCCTTGTACGCAGCCAGCCCGGCCGAGCCAGGTTCGATTCCCCCGCCCCTCTCGGAGAGCCCGGCAAGCTACTGAGAGTATCTCGCCCACGTGGCAAAGCCTGGCAAGCTACCAGTGACGTATTCAGTATGCCAAACACAGTAACAACAAGTCTCACGATGGAGATGTTACTGGGCCCGCTCGAGCAAATCGATGAACAACGCGGGGACAGTGTTTGTTTGGACAGTGTTTCCTGGGTCTTCTTAAATCTGACTTTCTCTGAGCTCTGGAAATGCTGTGTGGCCCACTGCATGTGCTGGCTAGACTCAGATCAGCGTTAAGAAATTCAACCTTCGGACTGGAGTGATCGTGTAGTGGGGGGCGCTGACCTTGCCTGTGGCCAACCTGGGTTTGATCTCCAACACCACATACGGTTCCTGCAAGACACCGTGAGCAGCAGCTCCTGAGTGCAGCCAGGAATAAGCCCAGAGCACAGCCAGACGTGGAGAGGGAGGGAGGGAGGGAGGGAGGGAAAGGAGAGAGAGAGGAGAGAGAGAGAGATTAATTTTAAACATCCTTTTAAAAATTAATTTTGGATGCAGCGACTACCTGTGTCAATAGGGACTAGGAAAAAAGAAATTTCAAGAACGGTTCAAAGTCCTGAAATTTTATTTCTCATGATTTTGACATCATTATCTCAGAGAGGGGCAAACACGGGCTTGTTTCCTTTTTCTGTTTTGTCTTCTGAACGACTGCCAGCTTTATTTTCACACGGGTTTTCCTGAGGCGTTGCAAATGTCACTTGTCCTGAAGTCGTGGCTTCCTGCTGTCTCACTGATCTTGACGCAGTGTCCACCTCGATCTCACTGATCTCGACGCAGTGTCTACCTTGACGCAAGCTCCGGCTTGCCCCACAGCCCCCTCAAGTTCTTACTTCTGTTTATGTTGTCTCAAGAGGTGCTTCCATTGGGAATTATCTGATCACTTTCTTCTTTTAAAAAAAGACTGAGGGGCCGGAGTGATGCTGCAGCAGGTAGGGCACTTGCCTTGCTCGCAGCCTAACTTGGTTCTGTCCCCAACACCACCTCTGGTCCCCTGAACCCTGCCAGGGAGTGAAATCTGAACACAGAGCCGGGATAAGCCCTGAGCACTGCTGGGTGGGGCCCTGATCAGACAACAATAACAAAAAGAGAACCGTGTCTTGAGAGATTCGCCCCCCTGCACAGGACAAAAGTCAGATTGCTCTCCAGGCTGTGTCCCTCTCTCCTTCCTTGGGCCCTGTGGGAGACCACTGGAAGTGATCCTTATACTGGTCTCTCTGTCCCCCCAGGCACTGTTATACTTCATTCATGTCATGGACCACATTGCTGTGAAGGAATATGTGTTGGTCTATTTCCACACACTGACCAGCGAGTACAATCACCTGGACTCCGAGTTCCTGAAGAAACTCTACGACGTTGTTGATGTCAAGTTAGTCCTTTTTGCAATTTGTCAAGAGCAGAAAACAGCATCTTCCCTCATGTTACTGAGTAGTCAAAAGCAGTGCTGTATAATTTGTGAAAGGATATTTGATATCACAGTTTTCTTTGTATGTGGAATAGATATTCGGATTATTCTTCCAGTTTCAGTACTTGTGCTGCCATCGTGAGCACTAGATATTCTGATCGTTTTTTTAAGCTCCTTAACCACGAATTTTATTTTGCATTTAAGTAAAAAGTGATGTGTAAACTCTCCTTTTAAATGCTTTGAGAAGGATCTGGGGTCATTACCAATCTTTGCATAGAAAATAACCAAAAGTGCCATCTTCTGCTTAAATGTTGTGTTACACTTATCATAATATATTTCTAACATTTTATTTGAGCCAGTGGAGTATCAGTTTATTAATCCCAAAGATTTTATACTTAAAAACGCCATACTTAAAAATGATTTACAAGGACTGGAGAGACAGCACAGTGGGTGAGGTGCTTGCCCAACCTGGGTGTGATCCCTAGTACCTGATGTGTCCTCCAAGCCTGCCAGCAGTGATTCCTGTGCACTGGGCCAGGAGCAAGTGCTGAGCACAGCTGGGTGTGGTTCAAATGCAAAAACAAAACTAAACAAAAATGATAATACAGTGTTTGTTAAATACTTGACTTTGCTCTTCCTCTAAGTGGCTCTTCCACACCAAGAGAAGTACTATCCTGTAAAAGAGAGAGGTTAGATAATGAAATGTTCTCCCTCTTGTTCTTGAAATGTCACCTAAAATTCACAATGTAATTGAGATGTTTGAGAAATCTTATTTCACATGTGTATATAATTTATACTCAGGCAACAAATGAATTGTCCTAAATGTTGACTGGTCTCCGACATGACTTACACGGATCCTGTTTTGATTTTGAATCAGGTACAAGAGGAACTTGAAGGCTGTTTATTTTGTTCATCCAACATTTCGCTCAAAGGTACAGTATTTTTTGTTTTTCGCTAACTCTTGAATTTAAGTCCACTGCATACCGGCAAGGTAGATTTCGGCATCTGATTTTACAGTCACCATTGTGGCTACGAATCTTCCTGTATAACTTTCCCGCTAATTGGTCTTGAGTCGTGGTTCTTCTGTTTTGGCTCTTTATAACTCTAGGGTCTTTGTAGGGTCTTTGGCACTGTGAAACTCTAGGCAACCCTCAGGAGCCGTTTACCTCTCAGCCCTTGAGTCTTCGTTCTCTATTCCTCTTTGCTCGTTCTGTTGCTATAGAACATTTTTCTTCCTCTCCTTATGACTAATTTCTGTCTGTCCTTTCAGTCTCAGCTCAGCAATTGCTTTTTTTTTTTTTTAAAACAAAACAAACTGTGTGTGTGTGTGTGTGTGTGTGTGTGTGTGTGTGTGTGGCCAGATAGTACAATAGTACAGCAGATACGAGACTTGCCTTGCATGCTGCTAACCAGGTTCAATCCCCGCACTCCATTTGGTCCCCTGAGCACCACCAGGAGTGATCCCTGAGCACTGAACCAAGAGTAAGCCTTGAGAGAAGTTGAGTGTGGATCAGAAAGAAAGCCCAAAAAAGCCTTTTATGTCCAGTACTGTGACTAGTAGGTACTCCTTTAATTGTTATATTTTTCCTTCTAATTGCATGTGTGTGTTATGTGTGTGTGTGAGAAAGTGTGGGAGTGGTGTGTGTGTGTTTGTGTGTGTATGTGTGTGTGTGTGTTGTGCTGGAGATTACATCCAGGACCTCACAGGGCAACACACAAGCTCTACCATTACAATTCTGTCTTACAATAGTATCTAATTCTATATCTTAACCTCATCAGGACATCTTTTTTCAAGAGTTTCCAGCAAATCTTAGCTCATTGTTTTTATTTTTTCTCTTTGGACAGCCTCAAACTCTTGTTTCATCGCTTCAGCAGCCTGTCAGTACCTGAAATCATAGCCTCTTCCTTGTTCAGCATGCTGGCGATCAAAATCTGATTTGGAAATAACCCATCATTCTGCCTTCTTCCCTCCTGTCTCTGGGTTCTGAGCACTGGTGGGGAAACCCTGGAGCCTAGTGACTCGGCTTGCCCTGTGGAAGCCTCCACTGTGTCCCGACCAGGGGTCTGTTTCGTCCCTCAGGCGCTCAGGGCACGGCCCACCCGCATGCCTCACTCCATCACAGGTCCTGGCTTGGTCCTTTACTGAGAATTTAGAAAACATCAGTAAAAGTGCCCCATCTCCTTATTCCCACCTCCCAGACAAATTTATTCTTATCATTGGCTCCTTTCCTCTTCGATGGATACATCTTCCTCCCACTGCGGAATACTCGCTCTGCCTGTCCCTGGGATCCTGGAGTGATGACTGTAATGCTTCCTAAGCATTTGCCAAATGTTTCTAGTTACGTGGAACAGCTGAAATTCTATGTGATAAGTAGTAACAGGAAATTGTGTGATGGCTTTGACAACAGTTGTGACAATTTCTTCTTCCGAGCCAGACATATACCTAGTCTGTAACCCAGCAGTTCCTCCGTGAGGCGTTTTACTCAAATGGAATGGAAACCTCCACACATAAAAAGCCTTCAGCGTGGCATTCATAGAAGCTTTAGTCACAGCAACAAGAGCTGGAGACTGCCCAGATGTCCATCAGTAGAATGATGAATAATTAAACTGGAATATTCTTGTAATGGAATATCATTTGGTACTAAAAGAGAATGTGCTAGTGTACGTAGCATGGAAGAATCTTAGAAACAATCTGTCGGGTAGAATAAGCCGTCCATGTAAGTCATGCTGTAGGGTTCCATTGACAAGAGATTCTGCAGTTAGCTACAGCTAATCCACGGAAGAAAGGAAAGAAAATCAGTTTGCCTCTGGAAAGAGGAAAAAAAGAAGCAGAAGCCAACTTTCTGGTGTAGTGAAAATCTTCATTTCAGTGGGAGTTTTTTGATGCTTGTGCATGAATTTGAATAAATCGCAAAAGCACGCCTAAACTCTGGGCAGGTCATCAAAAGTCAGTTTTATGGCAGAAAGTCTAAACAAACACTGACCTGTTCTGTGGTTCTGTGGTGCTGAATGAGGTTCCCCAGGCGTTGTCAGGTGCCGCCTGAGCCCCAGTGCCACTGGGGATGAGATTATCTCCCACATGGCAGGGCCCATGAAGGTACATGAAGGTACCGGCAGGGGAACAAAGGCACGCGGATCCTGGGGCTGAGATCTCCAAGCCTACTCGGATCGGGGCTGAGCATCCTCCACCCAGATCCTCCAAATTCCAGTAGGTGGGGGTCACACCCACCAACTGGCTCCCTGGCACCATGTAATCCCATCAACAGCCAAGACTCAGAGACTATAAAACCCAGCTCCCAGAAGCGCTCTTATCATCTCATTCCTACTTTGGACAAACTGGCAGGCTACCGAATGTAACCTGCCCACACGGCAGAGTCTGGCAAACTCCCCGTGGCGTACCCAATATGCCAAATACCAGTAACAATGAAGGGTCTCATTCTCCTAACTCTGAAAGAGCCTCGAATATGGCACTTTTTTAAAAATCTCAGGGCTAGGACGAAGGAGACGTTACTGGGGCCTGCTCGAGGCAATCGACGAACAACAGGATGGTTGTGATTGTGTGATTGTGATGGCCACCCCTTGGATGTCCTGTATCTCCTGAGTACCACTTGCCAATAATAAATATTTTTTTTAATTTTAGTGAAAATTATTTAAAGATTTAGTTTAATTAATATGTAAATTTAAGTATTTTAGTGAAAATGATTTCATTTCAAAATAAAATACAAACACTGTCTTCCCGTTGTTTATCGATTTGCTCAAGTGGGCCAAGTAACATCTCCATTTTGAGACTTGTTGGTCCTGTGTCTGGCATATCGAATACGTCACGGGTAGCTTGCCAGGCTTTGCTGTGCAGGCGAGATTCTCTCAGTAGCTTGCTGGGCTCTCTGAGGGGGCGGAGGAATCGAACCCAGCTTGGCCAGGCTGGCTGTGTGCAAGGCAAACGCCCGACTGCTGTGCTATCGCTCTAGCCCTATTTCAAAATAAATTTTAAAATATTTTAGTGAAAAACCTTCCCCTCACTCCTCCCTCCTCATACATAGGTCCTAAAGTCAAAATGAACAGTTCCCTCATCCACAACACCAGAGCCAACACATAGCTGTCCTTCCTGTTACATACATGGATGGATAGTACCCAAAATTTTGGTATTAGCACCAGTAGCTTGGCCATCAACCGGAAGTCGCTTCAGCTCGAAGATAGTGCTAGGTCATGCAGGGACTGAAGCACAGACGTAGAAAGTGAAAGCCATCACATAACTTCCTAACAGTTTTGTCCTGGAAGGGTAACTTGAATGAATAAAAGGCATGTGATGAAATGAAACTTACCATTCTTTTGTACTAAATCAAAACCAAAAATAGGATCTTTGTCATCATAAAATCATGTGATGAGCTTAAGGGGTAATAAAACAATAAAACCATCCTGTTCTGATTTCCAAACTCAGATCTTTCGCAGGCCATGCGACCCAAGAGATTATAAATTGACAGCTTATATAAATCACTACTGCTTTACTTTTTGAAGTGTACTAACCAGAAGGCGGCTGACACGGCAAAACCTGGCAAGCTCCCAGTGGCGTATTCGATATGCCAAACTCAGTAACAAGTCTCACAGTGTTACCTGGCCCGCTCGAGCAAATCGATGAACAACGGGCGGACAGTGACGGTGACTAACCAGAAGCAAACTAAGTGGACTTTGTGAGTGCCCGTGTTATGTGACCAAGCTTTTTCTAGTTGATAGTTTGCAATTCTATTTTTCTAGACTTTGCAATAGTGAGTAATTAGATGAAAGAATATCTATCATTGACAAAGCATTAGGAAGCTTGCCACTTTGGGGCTGTTGGGATAGAACAGGGACTATAGAATACCAACACCCTTAGGATCAGTAGTGTGTGTGTGTGTGTGTGTGTGTGTGTGTGTGTGTGTGTCAGTGTGTCAAAGAGACATACTGGGGCTGGAAGGGGAAATGGGGTCATTGGTGGAAGGATTAGTGCTGGAACATTGTATGCCTAAAGTCCAACCATGATTCATTGTGATTCACAGAAACTAAATAAGAAGTGTGCCCTTGTGTGCGTGTCTGTTTCCAGAGTTTTAAATTTTTTCTTGTTTCAAACTGTAGATTCTAAGTGATACAAGTTAACCTAAATGATGTTTGTAACTTGTTATAAATAATTGAAAATTAAAACTTAAATTAAGTAACATTAAACATTAAGTAACAGTAAAATTAAAACTTAAATTAACTTAAAAACAAAGTAAAAAATGCATCCCACATAGAAAACTTTTAACTTTATTTCCATTTCTGTCTGCTTTGAATATTTTCTCCTCTGATTCTTGGAGGATGTAAATTATGAAAGTAATGGAAACAAATGCAATGGAGAAATAGTTGTTTTTTTTTTTTTTTAATTCTTCCCTCACCGAACTTTCTCTTTGATATTGTCACTATTCACTGTGTCAGTCTGGGATGGCATATTCAAGGAACCCAGAACAATATTGAAAGGGGCATTAAAAATCATTGAAGTAGTAAATTTGGCCAGAGAGAGTACAGCAGGTAAGGCACTTGCCTTGCACGCCATCAACCCATGCTCAGTCCCTGGCACTCAGATGGTCCCTTGAGCCCACCAGGAGTGTTTCCTCGCCACAGAGCCAGGAGTAAGCCAGACGACTGCTTGGTGTGGCCCAACCACCTCCCCAGTCCCCACCCTGTGCCCCCTCAGCCAAAAAAAAAAAAAAAAAAAAAGACTTGCTCTTTATAGTGTGTTCTCTTTTGAGTATGTAGCACTGTCCTCCCATTGTTCATTGATTTGCTCGAGCGGGCCCAGTAATATCTGCATTTTGAGACTTGTTGTTACTGTGTATGGTGTATCGAATATGTCACGGGGAGCTTGCCAGGCTTTGCTATGCAGGTGAGAGCTTGCTGGGCTCTCCAAGAAGGGCGGAGGAATCGAACCCGGCTCAGCCGGGCTGGCTGCACGCAAGGCAAACGCCCCACCCCACTGTGCTATCGCTCCATCCCTTGAGTATGTATTTTGCTTATTTGTCTCTGTTTCTTTGCTTGCTTATTTCCACTCTGGAGAAGCCTGTGTTTTGTCTTGAACCCGCATTTCTCCCCTTCTTTCCCCTCCCATCTTTCTATATAAGTTTCAACAAAAGCCTTTTTGTTTCACCAAAAATAAAGAAGTTCAAAAACTCCTATTCCCCTTTGTTAAACCTTTCAGTACATACTGAAATCGGTACTTTCTGTGTCGGGCATTAATTAGACTTTGTGGTATTGAGTTAGCTAATCCCCGCTCTAGGAGCTTACCGTCTGTTTAGAGAATGAAGAGGTGAACAAACACTGCTGCTGGAACGCTTAAAGGAAGTTCCCTTTCCAGCTCAGAGTGGAAAAGGGATCAAAAAGAGCTTCCTTGGTGAAATAAAATCTCATCTGAATCAAGGAAAAGGCAGTATATAAAAAGGCAGCCCTGTGAATTTCCTAAAGGGCTGCGGCGAGAGATGTCTCGCCGTCTAAGTTCGGTAGTCTCATGCCGCGTCCCCCACCCCGGGGAGGCCGATGGCGATGGGCAGGCGAAGAAAGGGACAAGGGCCAGGCTGGTCGGCATCAGTTGTAGTTATTCCAGTCTCCTCTCCATTCTCCTCTGATACTCCTGCTTCTCTCATCTCTGGATCCCCCTCATCATCCTCTTGGGTCCTGCTCCTTCATCCTTCCCCTTCCTGCTTCTGCCTCCCCATTCTACTTCATTCTCCTTCAGGATCCTACTTCATTCTCCTCCTCGCTCCTCTGGCCCCCTCTTCCAGCCTTAGTTAAATCCCAAAGCATCAGGAGTTGGGGCTTACACATAGGTGTGGTCATACAATCAAAGGAGGTCAAGTCCTTCCCTCAGGGGAAGCTTCTTCTGGGACAGATTCTCATCCAGCAGGACGACCCCCCACCCAAGAGCGGAATCCCATGGGTGTTTTTCTCCTCTCTTTGTCCAACAAACATATAAACATAATATTAATCATTTTGTATGGACACAGTAAGCGATACATTAAGCTTATAGGATTGCTCTCCTGGGGCCTATAGATCTGGGCTTATCTGTGCTCTCTTCCCCTAACGGTCTATCACCTTTTCCCCTAGGCTCTGTTAACTCGTAAGGTCGCATCATTCCAAGGACACTTGACTTGTATTCACGAATTGCCTTTCTTCTCTCCTTATGTCTTTTGAATAGCTTACTTTAAAGCAATGTCCTTTTTGTGTAGACACAGGAAGACAGTTAATATTATGCTTTTGTAACTTGGGAGTTAATTGACTGAGTAATATTCACTCCTGGGCATCTGTTTTCTCGACTTAAGCCTCAGTTGCCCTTAGTTCCTAGCACCCCAAAAGCAGGGTCCCGACGAGGGACTGGATGGACCCAGGGCAAGCTGTGAGCTACCCTGGCATCAAAAATGGCCAGGCCAAGCGCCACAATACTTAACTGTAAGTTAAGAGCACGGTCATGGACAAACTCTGTCATGGTCCAAAAAGTAACGATGAGATTAGGACCCTGCTAGGTTTAGGAAAGACTGATCTGACCTGAGCACTGTAGTGACTTGGGAGCACTGCCATAAACCTAAGCTCACTATGGCAAGGCAGAAAGGACAAACCAGTGTTATCCTACAGTTAATCTCAGGGGCGTTGATATCAAAATCCCCCACTCCCCTGTACCTTTACAACTTTTCTCCAAATAGCCACTCCTTGCATCGAGAGTCATCTCTTATTTTCTGGGCTGTTCAGTGTATTCAATACATGTTAAGAATTCTTACAGTCTAGCACATCTAATTGAATCTGTGCTCACTTTCGAGTATGAATCAGTTGTTACTGTATATCACATACATACAAACATACATACTCCACCACAAAATGCTTAAAGCACAGATTAGCCAGTTGAGGTTTAATTTCTTGCACAAATATATCTCCTGATATACCTTGAGTTTCTTCTCTGTTCTCACCCCACAGTCTTATTTTCTCAAGCTCTTTCAAAAATCTTTAAAATCATCAGGTGCTTCCATAGTTCTTTACTGTTTTATCAACTATCTCTAGCTGTTTAAAGAACTCCTAATCTGAAATTTTCACTAATCTGGTTTGCAGAAATTGGTGTCACTTTGGTATTAGAAATTAATGTTGAAAAAAAAAATACTGGTTTGGGATTTTTTTTTTCTTTTTGGGTCACACGCGGCGATGCACAGGGCTTACTCCTGGCTCTGTGCTCAGGAATTACTCCTGGCAGCGCTCAGGGGACCATATGGGATGCTGGGATTCGAACCTGGGTTGGCCGCATGCAAGGCAAACACCCTACCCGCTGTGCTATTGCTCCAGCCCCTGGTTTGGGGTTTTTGAAGCTGACTTTATTCTAACAAGTGCCAAGTACTTCCCTGACACATCCTCCCTCCAAATAAATTTTGTACTGTGGGAAAGGAGGCCGTACAGAGAGTAATGTTTGAGGCCTGTATCAGTTTTTGGTAGTGTCACCAAGAGAACAGCCTTAAAAGTCATAAGACGGCTCTTACTGGTTAATCCTTTTCTATGTACTTGAGAAGGCATGGTTCTCTCTACCTTGTAAAACTCTATGCTATTGGTTTTTGTTTGTTTGGGGGGGGGGGGGCTACACCCAGTAATTCTCAGGGATTACTCCTGGCTTTGCACTCAGGAATAACTCCTGGTGGTGCTTCAGGGACCATATGGGATGCCAGGGATTGACTCCAGTTGACGGTGCGCCAGGCCAGTACCCTCCCTGCTAGGGTTTCATTCCAGCCTCTGCTATCCAGTAGCTTTATGATTTTCAAGGACTGTGGAAATTATTAAAATCAGTCTAAGTATCTGATACACTAGAATGTTCTCGGTGAGATTTAAATAGAAGGTCGGTTGGGAGGAGAATCTGTTCGAAATTATAACAGAGTATAGAAACTTAAATAGAGTTTTCATGGAGATTGTTAGTTCACTTCTCTATTTCTGTGCCTTTTGCTAAGTGTGAGGTTGTTTTGGGAGCCTGAAATTTATGAACATGTGAACTATATGAAGGAGTTCGGAAGAATATGGTAGGATAGCAAAGGGATTAACAAAGCGACATCAGTGGCAGTTGTTTGTAATATACACAGTTACACACATGCTGGCATCCTAGGAGGATATACTCCTGCAAATTAAGTAGGGAGAGCAACAATACCGTAATTCCTTCATACAAACGTTTTAAAAGTTTTCTGCAAATGTGGACTAGTTATGATTGTTTAGTTATAATAAGTGAAAAATAATTTGGGAGCTTAGTCTGTGTCAGTACTGTTTGCTCTCAAGAATTCTTTATTTTTTGGACCAACAAATTTTGCTGACTAGTTCTTATAGGAAATTGCATATATAAAAAGTGAAATAAGCAAAGATCATTCCACATTTTCAGAGCCCTTTCAACTTGGATTGACCAAGAAAGAGATGTTTGCCAAGGGGCTGGAGAGATAGTTTGCCAGGTAAAGTGCTTGCCGTGCATTTGCCTGTGCGGTTCAATCCCGGCATCCCATATGGTCCTCTGAGCATTGTCAGGGTGATTCCTGAGTGTAGAGCCAGGAGTGATCACTGAGCAAGAGAGAGACAGAGAGATGTTTGTCAAGTGGCAGCTGAAAAGTAAATGCTCCAAATATAAGCAAAAAAAAAAATTATTTTCAGTCTTACTTGACAAATAAAAAGTTTCTGTGATTCAGAAATATTCAGCAGAGTGCCAGTGACTTTACCAAAGAGTGCAATGGCCTTGAGCACAGCACACGGTAAGAGGACACCTTGCAAACAACACGTACTGCACTTGGAAGCCTATGAGCAAGCCCTAGAACCAGAAACTTGAGGAAGCAAAGCTCATTTCCCGGTTCCCGAGTAATACTCTAGTATGCATCTTTTTTTTGTTTCTGTGTTCATAATTCACTGAAGTAGTTACATAACTCCCTGATGGACTCTGACTTGCACTTTGAAAGACACGGCTTAGCCCGAGATTACTCTGACACCAATTTGACTTTAACAAATGGGACTATATTAAACGATATTTTGTATCAGTTTTAAACTATATAAAAATAATTAATTTATTAAATTAAATTTTTGAATTAATTAATTTAAAATATTAAACTATATTTATTTTGTATCAGTTTTCAAAATCGTGCTTGGATTCCCACCTCAGGCTACTGACTTAAGTTCTTTATCTCTTCTATTAATTCAGGTATCAACATGGTTTTTTACCACCTTTTCTGTCTCAGGACTGAAGGATAAAATCCACCATGTGGACAGCCTGCACCAGCTCTTTTCTGCTATATCGCCAGAACAGATCGACTTTCCTCCTTTCGTCCTTGAATATGATGCCAGGGTAAGGAATGCCTGGAGTTCTCTGTCATGGTGCATCTTAACTGTTCTGTAGAACAGTGCTTCTGAGCAGAATGTCCTTTCATTACAAGATAATACTGACGCATTTAGTCAGTTAGTGTGTTTTAGTAAACTGCAGAGTACCAGTTAGCATTCTTTTCTAACAATAACTTTAGAAAAATACCTTGTCCACAGAGAAGGCTTTTCCCTCCAATAAAATTTTCAGTGATATGCCAGACACAGTAACAACAAAATCTCCAATGGAGACGTTACTGGGCCCGCTCGAGCAAAAATTTTCAGTGAGAATTTTTCGTTTTTTATGTAGATTTGAAACCACTCTTGATTGTATTACTGCTTTTTTTTTTTTTTGGTCCAGTATTGCTCAGGGGTAACTCCTGGCCCTGCACTCAGGGATCACTTCTGGCAGTGTTCAGGGGACCATATGGGATGCTGGGGGATCATTGGATTGGCCATGTGCAAGACATGTGCCCTCTTCACTGCATTATATAGCTCCAGTCCGGTATTACTAATTTTCTAACTATCTTGGGAAGTACCTTCATCTATTATCTTGACATCAATAAGATAATATGGCTCTTCATTTACATAAGCACAGCCACAAGAATCTCTTGATGCACATACTTGTGTTAATTGCAAATCAGGTAGCCTGTCTAGTCTTTGACCTGTTTGAAGTTTATTTTTGTCTGAAAGGACTTAATATGTTTGGAATATCAGCCAGTAGCATTTCTTTATCAGTACCAATTAATACTAATATTAGTTAGTATTAGCATTGGTGTAATCTTAATAGGTTAACATATAATAAGTAGAAGACTTCTTGAATTTTATTAAAGCTCTATATCTTTATTAACAGTATTTAGTAATTTTAAAATAATGAGATGTGTGGTAATTTTAGCAATTTTAAAATAATGAGGTGCTTGGTTGAAAAATCATCTCCTCAGTAAAGTGTGCTCATTCTGTGCCTGTATGCATTAGTCAGGAAATATATTTGAAAATTACATTGTTTAGAATGAATTATTCTTCTCTGTTGTACAAAATGTATTCAGTAGGATAAGCATATAATACATCTTTTTCTTATAGCTTTTCTTTAATCTGTTCCCACGAATGTGAAGATCAAAGTATTTATAAATTTATTGTGGGGTGAAGAGAATTGTCCACAGCTTGCTGTGCTCAGAGGTGACATGTGTGGTGACAGGAATTGAACCCAGGTCAGCTGCACGCAGGGCAAGCGCCTAACCAGCTATCCTTCTAGGCCATTTATTCCATTCTCCCCACGCGCCTGCCCCAGTCTCTCTGAGCCTTCTATTCTGGTCTCACACTGCTCCTCATTTCAGTCTCCTTCTGTCTCTCCTGCTCATCTCTCCACGCTCCATCTTGCAGCTTGGGCTCTCTCTCTCTCTACATGCCTGCTCCTGTATTATTCTTCTGCATTCTTCTCTCTCTGTGCCCCTTGCTAGCCTCTCAGTGGCCGCCCTGCTCTCTCTCTCTCTCTCTCTCTCTCTCTCTCTCTCTCTCTCTCTCTCTCTCTCTCTCTCTCTCTCTCTCTCTCCAGCTCTCCTGTCTCTCCAACTCCCCAGCACCCAGTCGGGTAGCAAAATCAAAATAAGAAAACCCTTCCTGAGGGCCTGCCTAATAGGTATTCTAAAGTCCTTCCTGACTGCCCCAGGCAAAATATCTCCTAAGGTGTTTTTCTCCTTTCTTCAGTCCAAGAACTATCAACATCGTTAGTTTTATATGGACACTGTAAGAGATACCATTGAGGTATCTTGTAGGGCAGCTCACTGGGAACATCTTACCACAGACTCAGACTACAGCACTCAGGCCTGATTAATCATTCCTAACCCCAGCAGGGTCCAAATCTAGTTACTACTTTTTGGATCATGACAGCATTTGCCCATGACCAAGCTCTTAACTTATAGTTAAGCATTATGGCGCTTTGGCCAGGCCCATCTCGATGCCAGGGTAGCACCTAGCTTACCGCTTGCCCGGGTTCCATCCAGTCCCTCGTCAGGACCCTGCTTTTGGGGGCGCTAGGAAGTAAAGGCAGCTGAGGCTTAGGTGAGAGAACTGATGCCCACGAGGAAAATATCACTGGGAGTCACATTACAAAAGCATGCCTTCTTGTGTCCATACAAAAAGGACTTTGTTCTAAATAAACTATGCAAAGGATTTAGGGAGAAGAGAAAAACAATATTCACAAGTCAGCAGAGCACAAAGAAAGAAGTTACAAATAAACACAGAGGAATGGGAGCACTGTGATGGGAGCAACCCAATAAACCTAAACCACCTGAATCTATGCAGGAAGGACAGAGCAGTGTTATCCTACAAAGACCGAAGTATTTAGTGTGTTTTAATGGTTAATTTGTTGTTTCCTGTTCCAGAGAAGATTTAAAATTAGAGCAGCTGGATCATAGCTACAAAGATACTTTAACATGTAGGGGGTCGGGGTTGCCTGGGGATACAGATCAAGTAGCATTCATGCCTGGAGTAAGCAAGGTGAGGTTTCCAGCATTACCTACAAATGGATAAGGTCAATATTTGGAGGAGGAGAAAGAATGTCAGTATGTATTTACTGCAGATTTCTGGAGAAGAAAATGCCTGATTGTTCTTCTTTTGAACTACGTCCCTCTTACTGCTTTCCTTTTTTTTTTCTTTTTTTAAATTTTTATTAGTGAAACACCATGAGGTACAGTTGTAGACTTACAAATTTTTGTGCTGGGGTTTCAGTTACACAATGATCGAGTACCCATCCCTCCACCAGTGCCCATTTTCCACCACCACGGATCCCAGTATCCCTCCCACCCCCCAATCCCCCATCCCACCCTGCCTCTGTGGCAGGGCATTCCCTTTTGTTCTCTCTCCCCTTTGGGTGTTGTGGTTTGCAAAAGAGGCAATGGGTGGCAATCATGTTTGGTCTATAGTCTACTTTCCGCATGCTTCTCCCATCCTGGGAGGATCCTCCCAACACCTTTATTTGGTGCTCCCTTCTCTGTCTGAGCTCCCTTTTCCCCAAGCATGTGCGTCTGGCCTCCAAGCCGTGGAGTAAAATTCCTGGTACTAATCTCGGCCACTCTTGGGTGTTAGTCTCCTATTTTGTTACTTTGTGTTTCCCCAGATGAATGCAGTCTTTCTATGTCCCTCTCTTTCTGACTCATTTTGATGTCGGTGGGCCCCACGGGTGACTTATGTGAAGCGGGGAGGAGAAAGACGTTCACTTTCTCCCCACCCGCCTCTGCCACCCGGGACCCAGGGTTGCTGGGTTCTTGTCTCGCCTCGCAGAAAGGAGTTTCAGGAGTAGACAAGCAGTCAAACAAATAGATTTGATTTGGAGGATTTTTGGAGAGGGAGGGGCAGAGAGAGAGAGAGAGACAGAGAGGGGGAGAGAGAGAGAGAGAGAGAGAGAGTAACAGTAACGTACTCAAGAGAGAACACAGGCTTCTCCAAGGATGAAGAGAGAGAACCCCTACACACATCCTAGCATTAGACACAAAAGCATGAAAGTACACATCTCAAGAGGGGAGATGCGGGCTACACATGTGCTCGGGCACCACATGTGCTGAGCCACGTGGACTAAAGCACACATGGGCTCAGGCAGCATATGCGCGCCCTTCCTTTGTTCCAGGTGGCCTTTATAGGGTTTCTCCAACCTGCCCCCACGTGGGGCTTCTTCCCAGGTAAAAGTCCGTTGCTAAGGAGGTTACCAGGGAGGTCCAAAAAGAGGAATTTCATGGGGAGGAGGCCTATATTCTCAGGGTCTGCGGATGACCCTGGATGGTCTTCTCAGGCCTTTTTTTTCTGTATCCACAAGGTGGGTCATTCCTAGAATTCTTCTTCCGTGAAACTTTGTTTCATTGCAAAGGGCCTTTCCCTATCTACCTGCCTACATCAATTTCACTTACCATGATAATTTCCATGTTGATCCACTTACATGAAAATTTCATGACTCCATCTTTTCTAACAGCTGGATGGTATTCCATTGTGTAGATGTACCAAAGTTTCTTTAACCAGTCATCTGTTCTCGGGCACTCGGGTTTTTTTCCAGATTCTGGCTATTGTAAAGAGTGCTTCAATAAACAGACAATTGCAGATGTCACTTCAACTATACTTTTCTGCCTCTCCGGGATATATTCCCAGGAGTGGTATTGCTGGGTCAAATGGGAACTCAATTTCTAGTTTTTTGAGAATCGTCCATACTGTTTTCCAGAGGGCTGAACCAGTCTGCATTCCCACCAGCAGTGTAGGAGGGTCCCTATCTCCCCACATCCACGCCAACACCGTTTGCTTTTGTTCTTTTGGATGTGTGCCAGTCTCTGTGGTGTGAGGTGGTATCTCATTGTTGTTTTGATCTGCATTTCCCTGATGATTAGTGATGAAGAGCATTTTTTCATGTGCCTTTTTGCCATTTGTATTTCTTCTTTGAGAAAGTTTCTGTTCATTTCATCGCCCCATTTTCTGATGGGATTGGATGTTTCCTTCTTGCAGAGTTCAACCAGTGCCTTATATATCTTTGATATCAACCCCTTGTCTGATGGGTATTGGGTGAATATCCTTTCCCATTCTGTAGATTGTCTTTGTATTTTGGTCACTGTATCTTTTGCGGTGCAGAAGCTTCTTAGTTTAATATAGTCCCATTTTTCTATCTCTTTTTCCACTTGGTTGGCCAGTGGAGTGTCATCTTTGAAGATACCATTAGCCTCAATATCATGGAGGGTTTTGTTGACCTTGTCTTCAATGTACCTTATGGATTCTGGCCTGATGTTGAGATCTTTAATCCATTTTGATCTGACTTTTGTGCATGGTGTTAAGTAGAGGTCTAAGCCCATTTTCTTGCATGTGGTTGTCCAATTATTCAAAAGATGGATAGCAGGGGACATGAAAGGTATTTTGATAGAAAAATCTTTGGAATGACAATTCAAAGCTAGTGTCTGGATTTATAATTTAATTTCTCAAGCAGAGATAAACATATTGAGTTGTGATGGTTAGAAAACT